TTTGCAAAACAAAAAAGCTTTAAAAACATTCCTAACATTCTTTTGTTACTGTTTAAAAGCTTCTAAAGGTGGAAAGGAGAACAGCCTATAGCACTTTTGCAGCTGCATATTTTCCTAATGATTGTAACCATGGTTATACAATAGATGACTATGCTGGAAAAAGAAATACAGTGCTATATATAACTCAGTCTCTAGAAAGGAAAATCTAAGCCCTGAAGTTGGGAGGAAAATGCAGACCACCACTACCACTCAACCGGTGTCTGGGGGGGGGGGGAATCAATTTTCAGAATTTTAGCTTTCAGAACACCCTCAATCACTCCATCCTCCTTCCAAAATGTTCAGTCGGCTTTCCAAATAAGCCAGTGACCAGCAACCTGGAATCAAAAGCCTGGTGTCAGCTTGAAACTGGCTGAAAGTCATCATATGAAGGTGTGTCCTCTGTGTACCATGAGGAGATCGGAAGTCAGATTGAGAATGATCATGGAAAGGTCCCATGTTTTCCCAGCATTATACTTTTAGTATACTTAAAATAACACTCTGGCCTTAAAATAGCTTTTTTAAATTGGCTTCTGAATGGATGAGACCACACTACACCCAAAACAAAAAGCCAGCCCCAAACAAAACCAACCCTTCCCCCTCCACAACGTCCTAACAAAGACAAGTTGCTCCCTCGCACTGCCAAAATCTCTCAGCTCAGTTATCATCAGTCTGGGTGTATGTTTTCACTTATTTGGTGCCAATTTTCTGCTCTTCAAAAAAGCAAAGCTTACGGACCTGTAAGAAACAGCTTCATTCCTGCTGTGTTTAGGGCAACCTTGTCTCTCTGGGTAGCTTCTCTAAATGGTAAGTTGGCACTCTGCAGACACAGAGAAAGTTCTGCTCCATTTTCCTGAATGATCCTGTCCTGCCCGGCCATCAGCAGGGTTCCAGAATGCCTTCATTTTCTTACTTTGGGGAGAGAGAAGCATGTTTCTGCTTCCTGAACTCTATTTGAGTGTCCAGGAAAATTGTCCTTTGCCCACCTCTGTGATATCTGAAACCTGATTTACTAGTCTACGGGACAGAAAGGGAATAATAAAAAAAAAACAGCACTGGTAATGGTTATAGCAATAGCACTTAGACTTATATACCTTTTCACAGTGCTTTTATAGCCCTCTCTAAGCTGCTTACAGAGTCAACCTATTGCCCCCAACAATCTGGGTCCTCATTTTACCCACCTCGGATGGATGGAAGGCTGAGTCAACCTTCAGCCAGTGAGACTCAACTGCCAAACTGCTGGCAGCTGGCAATCAGCAGAAATAGACTGAAGTACTGCATTATAACCACTGCGCAACCACGGTTTTCCTTTAAAAGTAAGATCAATTTTTCATCTGTTTAGGAAGCACAGGTTGAAGAATGTTATCATGAATGGGTAATGTCTTAGATGTGTCCACTTTGGAAACACCTCCCCCCAACTTATGAATAGAGCTGAGTTGTAAGTCAGGTTATTTTTTGTGAAATTTGTGGTCAGCTGGATGGCTGAGGGAGGCCTAGGTCGGTGTTTCTCAACCTTGACAAATTTAAGGCACGTGGACTTCAACTCCCAGAATTCCACAGCCAGCGTTGCTAGCTGTGGAATTCTGGGAGTTGAAGTCCACATGCCTTAAAATTGTCAAGGTTGAGAAACACTGGCCTAGGTTAATGGCAGCTTGTTTCTGATTCTCCTGCTGGCAGATTGTTCTGCATTAAGACTAAATAGTTTGGGTGCTTGGAATCCCAATGTATTATGCAGGATATAATAATGTTACTGTATCAGATCAAGTGATATCAGTAAAATAAATCTCTGTGTTAATGTTTACACTTTGAGATAGATAGATAGATAGATAGATAGATAGATAGATAGATAGATAGATAGTTTTTTTATTCAAACCTTTAAACAAGAAGATAAATGCTAACATATACTAGTAGAAAGTAAGAAAAAAAGAAAACAAAAGACAAAGGGCAAGAAAAAAAGTTACAGAAAAATAGAAAAGAAAGAAAGAAAATATAAAGAAGTGGCTTCCAATATTCTTCACAGCGGTTATAAGCCCAAGTATATTTTGACCTCTCTAACATTACATTGTATCATTTTTTTATAATCTATCTAATCACCAAAACCATAGGTCACAAGTTCATTGTTTTCATTTTTATGCAAATCTGAAAGTCCATAAGACTTCCAATCAGCAATACATAGAGATAATGTCTTCTCTCTAATCGAAGAAGTTAATTTATCCATTTCAGCAAAACCTTTAAACTTTAAACCATTCCTCTGTAGTAGGTACAGCAGTGTCGAATTTTTTTCATCTTTGTGCATAGAGTAATCTCATTGCTGTGGCTTTGAAACCATGCTTCTAGCCTTTCTTAACTTCCCCAAACTACCTCTGCCTCCTCTTTCCTGTTGTTGTTGTACCGCAGTAAGGATGCTTAGGAAGCTGCAGAGAGGTAGAGTGGGGTCATTTTCCTCTATCAACAGGGTGGATTGCTAAGCAAATCAATGTTTCTCATAGATTGCCAATCTGTGCCTTTGTGCTTCACATGAGGTCAGTAAGCAGGATACCAGTAAAGTGAACGAGATCAGCCAAGGAGAGGGATTTTTGCACAGGGTTGAGTAGGCACATCTAAAGGGAAGGATGTCTTTTGTTCACAAAGCCAGTGATCTTTTGATGGGACTGATGATGCTCAAAGCTGCAAGTCTCAGCATTCCACTCCTTAGTCATTTATGCCTTTCAGAGGATTGTGTGATATGTGCTTGCGCCTTAGCAAATATAGGAACCCTCCCGTTTCGTATTGTGACCAGGAACCAGAGCTAGTAACAGCCTTTGTGCTCAAAAATAATTGGTACATAGAATAAATAGGGCCTGACAATGAATTCTCGGTGAGGCTGCTTCTTTCTTAGCTCTAGATGGGGGGGGGGGGAGATGATAGTGATGATACTATTTTTCCCTAGGGAATTCTGCAGTCTCATAAATCTGGCTCAGGATGATGAGTTAGAAAAATGGAAGATGGCTTTGAATTAAGTGCAATATTGCCTGTTGAACTCAAGCTGTGTAATATCTGGGGCTGGTCAACAAATTTGTCATCGACAATAAAGATATTAATCTAATGGAAGAAGTATAGATCTGAAAACATGCACACAATCTATTTTGGAATATGCATTTCAATGATTTTTCTGCAGGAAACGTGTGAAAGAGTGGCTGTGGGATCCATGAAAGTTTTGACATGGATCCCAGGGCCACTGTTTCACACTCCCCACGTAACCATCACTTCCTCAGTGCAGTCCTCCTTGCAAAGCGGCGAAGTGCTGATGTACTGAGAAATGCTCCTCTTCAGCTAATTAACAAAGGAGTAAAAAAACCAGACATTCAGCTAGTTGTCATTCTAGCTTCACACTGCATGTGTTGTTGTTCCATTTCCAAAAAGGATTCGCAAAACTTGAAGAAGACCTATTGGCAGGTACTAGTGGAATGAAAGAAAATTGAAGAGAAAAAGAAATACGTTACTGATTATTCTCCCTGCACCATTTCTAGGCTAGAAATTATCCAGTAGCGGAGCAAAACCAGGACCTGGACAAACCCCTTGTGCACAGAACACTAAAGAGTTTCTCTAGCAGTCTGTCTTGAGGCCCCAGTCATTCTGACCTCCCTAAACACTATTTCTGAATTTCCTCTTCCTGAGAGCTGACTTAAATGTGTGTGTGTGTGTGTGTGTGTCTGATTACGTTTTATTTTAGATTATCATGACCCCAGGTACTTCTAACTTTTCCCCAACATTCAACCAATTCCATACCTAAAGAAAACATATATTTGCTTTGCTCATTCTTTTCCTGTTCATGAGAGAGCTACTATAGTAAAGAGAAGAGCATGATTGAGAAGAGGGAATGTGGCACCCCTGTGCTAAGCTGTCTCCTGACTGTGTGAAGGAATGACTCGATCTCCAAAGTGGATTGTCAAAAGAGTTAATCTTGGGGGCTGCCTTTTTGTCATGGACCAGGGCAAATAGGGAGGGGCATTGAATGGATATGAACATGGTCTTGCTGGCCATGGAGCTAAGGCAAAGTGTAAAAGCAGTGTTTCTCAACCTTGACAATTTTAAGGCATGTGGACTTCAACTCCCAGAATTCCACAGCCAACAATGCTGGCTGTGGAATTCTGGGAGTTGAAGTCCACATGCCTTAAAATTGTCAAGGTTGAGAAACACTGGTGTAAAGTCAGAAAGCCTGGCAACCGGCCCAATCCAAGGAAAATGAGAGACGGAAGGAATTTTCTTACATTGGTAACACTGTAGCACTCTTTCTTTGTAAAGACAAGGCAAAATCACCATTGCTGTATTCTGCTTTTTTTTTTTTTTTTTAAGAAAAGCTCATAGCAAACAATAAAAACAATGGAAATGAAAACAAAATCAAGGCAACTAAAAGCTGTAAGCAACAGGGGAAAATCAGTTAATTGGGGCTCAGGTCAAGTCATTTCACTCATTATTTTTAGCATGAAAAATGCTTTACATACTATGTTAATAAGAATTTAGCAAGTAAAATGGACTACCCTGAATTGCAGCAAAAGGCACCTTAGTTGCTTTGACCTGACTTTGAACTGTATTCCCCAACTTGTTGCTATTCCAAAATGGTGGGACCTCAATTCCTGGACTTACTGAGCCAGCACATCATGCTGACCCTGTACCTTCTCATTCTTTTGATCCTAGGTGCATGTGTGAGCAGCAGAGCAGGGGGTTGGACTAGAAGTCCTCCACGGCCCCTTCCAACTCTATTGTTCCGTTCCATTCCGTTCCATTCCGTTCCATTCCATTCCATTCTATTCTATTCTATTCTATTCTATTCTATTCTATTCTATTCTATTCTATTCTATTCTATTCTATTCTATTCTATGTTTGTGTGCGCACACTATACTACACAAAGTAATATTATACTATGTTACACTTTTTCTTGACATTAATTTTCAATTCTCCCATTTTTTTGTTTCTTTACATAGGAGGAATATACGGGTTACTTCCTCAGAAGTGCCAGGTGATAGTGCTGCTGAACCCACGGAGTGGAGCAGGACAGGCCCTGAATCTATTCACATCACAAGTTCAGCCAATGTTGACAGAAGCCAGCATAGGATTCCATAAGTTTGTCACTGGTGAGCCTTGTGGCTGGCTCAGAGCAACTTAGGGAAATTAGTTTAGTATAGGTAGTCCTCAACTTACTAAAGTTCATTTAGTGACCGTTCAAAGTTGCAACGGCATTGAAAAAAGCGACTTATGACCGTTTTTTCCCACTTATGACCACTGCAGCATCCCCGTAGTTACATGATCAAAATTCAGATGCTTGGCAACTGGTTCGTATTTATGACGGCTGCAGTGTCCTGGGGTGTGTGTGTGTGTCATGTGATCCCCTTTTGCAACCTTCTGACAAGCAAAGTCAATGGGGAAGCCAGATTCACTTAACAATCGTGTTACTAAACAACTGCAGTGATTCACTTAACAACTGTGTCAAGGAAAGTTGTAAAATGGGACAAAACTCACTTAACAAATATCTCACTTAACAACAGAAATTTTGGGCTCAATTGTGGTTGTAAGTCGAGGACTATCTGTAGATATGGCTCAGACTTCTGTTTCCAGTTCTGTTCACTTATTTTGCCTTTGGCCAAGCCTGGGTGGAGTGACATTGTTGGTACTCTTATATTGTAGAACACTTTGCAGTTTCAGTGTATGAAAGTAGGTAGTTAATTCAACCTGCTCCAGTTCTCCTCATGTGGAGGGTTATAATAACAATGAACTGTGTAATTTATTTTATAAAAAATCAGAACATGTATAAATAAATTAAAACTATCATCCCAGTTAAACTTATGGGAAATAAAGACCACAATAGTGGAAGGATGCTGGATTTGGAGAATAGGACAAGTCTGAAAATTGTAATTGTACAGCACTAACTTAGAAACTCCAATCATCTGACTACCTTATGCTTCAACTTTGTCAACCTCTCTGGTATCCAGTCTGTTTCTGGGCTCACTTTAAAACAGTGGCTTAATTAATATAATTCTCAATAACTTAGGGCCAGGTTATCTGACGGACCTCCACCTTGTCATGTGGAACCCTCCCCAAATCTTAAGATCTTTCCAGATTCCTTCAGTAGGTGTCATAAGACAGTTTGCCATATTCTATCCTTGTATTCATACTGGATTAGATTTGTTGATTTCTTTTTTTTCCCTTTAACTGCCCAATATCAGATCACTTTCTTTAAAATTTGCTTTTAGCAAATAAATAAACAAGGGAGTTGATTAAATCAACCCAACAAATATTTAACAATAATAGTGGCCAAACAGAAAGGAAGAGTTATGTATATATTGGTAAACAAATCTTTGTGCTTCAGGTATTAGGTTCAAATAAGTAATTGTTTGTGTGTGTGAGAGAGAGAGGAGGGAGAGAGAGAGAGAGAGAGAGAGAGAGAGAGATGTAAGAATGTAAGAAGAAAGACAGTTGTGTATTTGTGGATTAATTTAAAACCTATAGTCCATCCAAATTAAAACATCATCTACAAGACATACAAGCTTTTGTCTTTCTCCCCAGAAAAACACAATCATGCTTGGGATTTGGCAAGGAATGAGGACATGTCCAAATGGGATGCTGTGGTCATTATGGCTGGAGATGGCTTGCTTCATGAGGTAATGAATGGGGCAGATGGTTGTAGGGACTTTATGGTATCCTGGCTCCATTACACCAGAAGAGAAATGGATATAGGTTGTTAGTATTCTTCCAGCTAGTGACTGTTCTGATTCAGCCTACCATTTTGAAACAGGAGAGTAGAAGTGACTGAATTAATACAGATTGAAAATACTGATATTGGGCCAGAATCTTTGATCATTCATAATTAAACAGAAGGCAACAATTGGTACCTGTAGATTGCAGTAAGATTTTCACTTCTGTGCATTTTGACTTCGGTCACCCAAGTAGTGGCTGGGATAAGTAAAGGGCATTTATTGTTTGTTCTTTATAAAATAACCTGAGATAATGTTCCATAATTAAACTTTTATTTTAAAATAATAGTAAAAAACTCTTGATCTGCTTTCAATCTTTTCATAGTAAAGGCCTCACTTTCAGACTAAATCTTCCTTGCTACTTTGAATTTTCTCTTTTTGTATAAATTATTAGCTACTGCTCACTCTCCTCATTTTTTTAAAAAAAGTATTTTATTGGTGAAACAAAACAACCCGAAGACATGATGAAATACAATCCTAAATAATGCCAATAAAATCAGAAAAGAATACACATAATAGTGATTAAATGAGAGGCATTGAAAGGAACTAAAAATGTATCCATAAACTTTGAATAGAGGTCCTTTAAGATATTATTATATTTAACTCTGTAGCCTATTTATTGCTCCATATTCTCAGTGTTGGTATAATACATTATTTCAGTTACAATGATATTTATGATATATACTTAGTTTCTTAATCTTTTATTATTTAGTGCCTTAGAGAAACTACAATGCTTATTTAGAGGAAGCAACAACAGAATGGGAGTACAATGGGCTTTTTTTAAAACTATCATTTCAAAATACTACTCAACTACATTTAGCTAAATATTTTTTTACATGTTCACACTTCAAATAAATTGGTTATATTTGGAGTGGCAATTTTATTTCTCTACTATTTTACCACTTGTGTTCATGATTTTGAACTTGGGCTTGATCTCCTAATTAATGATACAAAAGTTAAACTGGGAATGAACAGGTTTTTTTTTATTTTCATCTTTAGAAGGATGAACTGAACATATTTGCAGAGATGCTTCAGAAAGCAGACTCGAGAATCTGCCTGGGTTTCTTTTTTCACTTTTTTTTTTTTTTTACAAGAAAAGAATTTCCCTCATCTTCACAGCTGGGGAGAAATTCTTGATGCCCTTCAAGAAAGAAGCCATGAGTCCGGATGATTGTATACTCCCATGGTTTTGAAACAAATCCTCCTAATTTAAATTACTTTGGCTCTGGAGCTAATGGGGTGAATTTCCTCTAACTGACTTCAGTGGGAGCCATAAGGGTAGCAGAGAGGCAGGGTGAGGAATGGATAAAAGCGGGGATGGGGGGAGTCATTCTCCTCCAGGACTTCAGGACAGAATTTTTGCCATATCTTACTAGAACTCCTCTCAGTGTTTCTGACCATCCTACTCTGATCCCAGATCGAGATCCTCTTTTTAGGAGCAGAAGGTAAAACAATCGTACAATTTCAAATAGCGATGCTGAATCCAAGAAGCAGAATATAGTGAATTTTAAGTTAAGTCAGATTGTTCGAACTGGCAGATTTTATAGCTTTGTCATAAGCACTATTGGAGAGAATGTGGGAATAACGGGGAGATTATTGCCATTACTGCATATTTATTTCAACCTGTCATGATTAAATTAAATCTTATAGCATTGAATGCTGGTTGCTCAAAGCAAGGACTTTCAAACTGCTTTCTGTGGAGTTTCTCAACAACAACAGAGGTTCCGTACAGGCAAAAAAATAAAAGAGAAAAGCTTGCTCAGGTGCTCTGCTTCTTGATCAGGGATCCTGGGATTTTTTTTAATTTTTATTTAAAAACCCAAATAGTTTTAGCATCCTGGAAAAAAATGGAAAAGCTCTAGTTTAGAAGTCCCAGTGTTTTTTTTAGTTCAGCAAGACTTATTTCCAGCCTTGCATCTTGATTATACTGTAAAGGCTGACCCAAATTTGAATCACACTCCCAAATCGGTATCTTTCTCTTTCTTGCTCCCACATAGACCCTTTGTCCCAATAAGTATGTTGAAAGTGACTGGCCGCTTCAGTAGTCATCATCCATCATTGCAGCTGGAGTTCAGTTCAGATGCAAAACCGGACTTTCCTTTTCCTCTGACTGGCTGTCATCTGTGTCTTTTAGGTGATCAATGGCCTGATGGAGCGTCCTGACTGGAAGACTGCGATCCAGAAGCCTCTCTGCATTCTCCCAGGAGGATCTGGGAATGCTTTAGCTTCTTCACTTAATCACTATGCTAGGTAAGATGTATTCTTAAAGATTACTGGCACTCCTTGTACTATTACAAATGAGGCCACACTCTTTCAGGGCCATCCCTACTCTTAGCGCAGACTAGTGAGTAACTAGAAGAGAAATAGAAGGAAAGTCCTTCTGTCCTCCTGGCAACGCAGTCTCCCTTGAATTGAACTTGGCTCATGAACACAACCCTGTAGTTTTTCTAGCAATGAAAGGGATTGCTGTTGCCCTCTTCTGAATGTTTTTAAGGTTCTAGTTTGATCTGTAACTTGGGTTTTCTTGATAGTTTTTATTTATTTATTTATTTATTTTTCATTTCTGAACTACCCATCTCTCTCAGGGAGACATTCTGGGTAATAGACAACATAATATTAAAATATAAAAACAATATGTGAAAGTTTAAAAAAAATAGAAAGAGGCAAGGATAATAAAACATTGTTAACGTTAATTAAAAGGCACAGGGAGGGCTCTTGGGGCACTAGCCAGTCCATCGCTGCATGTTCCTCTGGGCTGCCCACACGAGGTGGCAGAGTCATACTTTAACACAGTGTTTCCCAAACTTGACAATTTTAAGGCATGTGGACTTCAACTCCCAGAATTCCAGAGCCAGCAATGCTGGCTGTGGAATTCTGGGAGTTGAAGTCCACATGCCTTAAAATTGTCAAGTTTGGGAAACACTGCTTTAACAGGAGAGTGAGGGATTCCTGTCTCATCTTGGGCGGGTGTGTGTGTGTGAGAGAGAGAGAATATCCCACAGGGTGTGCAATGGCAGAGAAGGCTCTATTCCTTGACCCTGCCAATCAAAGTGCTTTAGCTTTAGCCAATGGGGGCCTGCAATATATCTTCCCTGCCTGACCAGGTGGGACAGGCCAATGTAATAGGATGAAGCCGGTTCTTGTAGTTTTCATCCATTTTGTAGTATTGTAGTTTCCATCCATTTATTCAGTCACAGGACTAAACTTCTTGAGATTAGACAGTACTGCCTTCTGCTTTAGCTTCCTTTAAATAGGAATAGTCAGTGCCTTTACGTTGCTGTTGTTAGACAGATTCTGCACCTCAAATTTTGTAGTGAAGGTTCTGTGATTCTTTTTTTTTTTAAATTTTTTTAAAAAGTATTTTATTGGTTTTCTATCATTACAATTTATCCGTGCTTAATAAACAACGTGTTGTCTGGGTTAATTTTGCCTAGTCATAAAGATTAAGTTCTTACTCTCTATCTTGCTTTTCCAACCATTGGTAAAATAAGTTCCATGTTTGAAAGTATACTGTGTCGTCTTTTCCTTTGATTCTCAATGTAAGTCTGCCCATTTCTGCACAGTCCAATATTTTCTTAATTATCGCTTCCTTCGATGGTGGTGTCTCATTTTTCCAGTGCTGTGCAAATATAATCCTCACTGCAGTTAATACATGTAATGTTAAATATACATTTTGTTTATCAAACTTTTCTAGCATTATGCCTAGTAAAAAAAGTTCAGGTTTAAAATCTGTATGTTTTCCTAACATTTTTTCTAACCACGTATGTATTTTAGTCCATTTTTTTTTGCTTTTATACAAGTCCACCACAAGTGATATGTACATTTCTAGCATTTCCTAGACATATTTTTAAACATTTTTGCTAATCTAGCAGGTGAAAATGCCATCTATAAAACATTTTATATAGGTTTTCTTTATACAGTATAATGTAGCCACTGTCAGTTTATAATTTCTTTCCCATAGATTTTGCCATTTCTCTAATTCTGTGTTATGCCCAATTTTTTTTTTGCCCAAGACTCTGTGATTCTTATGCAACCTTTTACATTGCTCATCACAAAGAACGGCCACAATACCAACCCAAGATCTACGATCTGCCAGATGAAAACCTTGCCTGGTCTTCTATTGGTGCCTGAGAGTGTGTGGGCCTTTCTGATTGGAGCAAAAACCACTCCTTCTTTCTGCTTTGCAAGGCAGCCATTGGTAGAGCAGTTTCACACCGACCCTTCCCCTGACAGACAGGGTGCATAGTGTTTCCTTGGGTTGGTATCATCTGTCATTCTAAAGAGAGATGGGGGAAGTTGTTATCTTGCAAAGCTTCCTTCATTCCTAGTTGTTGGCTCAGCTTTCAATAATCTCCCAGAAGCTACAGCCCCTCCCATGCCCCTCTGTACTGGCCTCTGCCCTTTGCACAGCAGGCCTCCTCTTCCATCTGCTCTGTGGCTAATCCCCACTCCCCCCCAGGACTTTGAGAAGGGAGGGTGAATGAGGTGTGTTGAGGGTATTCTGAAGAGGCTATTTTCCTTTCTGTTACACTGGCTCAGCCACCTGGCATTCTCTAAGATAAATGCTCTACTATCATCATGGCGGAGAAACAAGGCCACGACAACAAGTCTGGGTGCTGTCAAACTTAGCCTCAGTGGGAAAGTGAGTCACTCTTAAGCGTTAGATACATATCAACCCTGCCTTCTTCAGCATGGTACATTCAAATGCATTTGACTCAGCTAGGGAGAGCATCAGGCAGAGAAAGCTAATTATTCACTACTCTGATCATTTTCCATCCCTTTTCCTCATTTCTGCTCTTTGTGGGCTGTATTTCAATCACCTGCTTCTGCAACTGGATGCTCCACTGACTCTTCCATGAAATCTCTCCAGGACAGAGGGTGCTATCACTTATCGCCAGCCAAAGTGGATAGGAGTTGAAATTTAGAAGGCATCTGGTTGCTTTTCCCTTGCCCTAACTGGTTCATTGAACTTCTGAATTTGATAAATGAGCTAAGATATCTGAAAGGAATTCTCTATTCCCATGGTCTCGAAAAAAGGCTGACCAGACATTTTAGAAAGTTAGTTAAAAGTGCAAAGTGTGAAATCCTAAAGTCTTTCTGTTATCATTGGCATCTAGGAATGCTCCGGGGTCAAAATGCGATCACCTTCAGAGGGAGGAAAGGTGAGATGCAAACTGAGATATCTAATACTTAACTTATTTTAATCATGCAGAAATTACTTGCAGATTTATCATGCTGAGTGATAACTCTCCAAATTATTCTTGAAGAAATCATTTGTATTGAAACTGTGTTACAGAAATTATTTTAAGATGTGTACGTATATGAATGTAATGGTTATTTAATCTAGATTTTTCCCAACAGCAGTATTCTTTTTACACAAGTTGGACCTCAGCCACACCCCTGGCATTGATCCAGGCCAGTGAAATCTGTTTCCTGTTTCTTATTGCAAAACTTTATTGCTGATGGTGCACTTTCTAATAGCAAGACTCCTATTATGCTCAACGGCCTTGTTTCCAAGTAGGCATAAAATGCATGAGCCCTCCTATCAAAGTTTACAATATTGTCTTATTATTATCTTCCTTCAAAGAAACCAGTGTCATTTTATGGCAACTCTGCCTCATTAAACTGAGAAAGGGTGAATGCTTCAGAGTAATTCCAGGTAGGCTGGAGTATTTGAAGAACTTGGGTCAAATTAGCTCAGGCCGGAAAAACATGCTGTTTGTGGGTGGAGGAACCTCTCCCTAGAAAACAAAATGGCTAACTTTAGCAGTATGGTTGTTTTTAACTTTTATTCTTGTGGATAGGAGTAGGTTTGAAAGGCAAGTTTAAGCTTCTCAAATACTGGAAAATAAGTCTTCTATGGGACTTTGGAAGTTACAAACTGCTCTCCCCACATCCTCAAATGTCGCCCTCACTTTCTGATCTCTGCCCTCTACTGGGCCCAACAAGAAGACTCCTCCTTTACTAGAAGCCAACTGGAAGTGCTCAACTGATCTCTTTATGTCCCACTTGCCCTTTTGTCTTCTATGACAATCCATTCTGTAAGCAAGTCCAAATAGTTTTCTTTCATGGTCTTTTAATTACATTAAGAAACTTATATTCAAATTATAACTGTTGATCAGTCTCTCTATCTCTAAAGACTTCCAATTGTTTGCAGTCTTCTACTTTCATTATTTTAACTATCCATACACTAATGCATATAAATTCCTATTGAATTATTTTCCTCTTTAATTCTCTCAAACTGGTGCCTGTGGATCCTCTCTTATTGGAAAATCCTGTGATGGGTGTATTTGGGAGGAGGGGGGAAGTACTACAAAGCTGCTCATGTGTCAGAAACTCCTAGCAATCATCCACAGGGAGTACCACCATTGCCAACCCACTGACATTTTGACACATACCGTGTTTCCCCGAAAATAAGGCCTATCCCCAAAATAAACCCTAGCTTGATTTTTACGCATATGCCTAATATAAGCCCTAGCCCCAAAATAATCCCTAGTTAAGCCCTGTGCAGCTGGCTGCCTGCCCATTCCGTCTGGTTGTTCACGGTGCTGCTGCCACGAGGTGAGGTGAGGCAGGTTGGGGAGGGGATGGAGCTGTCCCATGCTCCACGCATTCACTTACCTCAGGCCCCCCACAGCCAGGCCTCCCATGCCCTGACACCTGCCTCCCTCGTGGCGGTGGCACCAACACCCTGTCCAGCAGGAGCACATGTGGCCACTGCCAGCCCACTTCTCCTGCGGCCACTTGCCGCTGCTCACATGCGTTGTCCCTGGCCTCCATTTCACCAGCAGAGGCCTTCAGGAAAGCCCCAGGTTGACACGGGAGCTTCCGTCTCAAGCCTATTCAGAATCAATGTAAAGGTTCTAGAATGGCAGTGGTAAAACCTCCCTCAGGGCAACTACCAAATCTCTTTGAACTCTAGTTATAGTTATTAGAAGGAAGGTTAAGGTTACAAGAATTCCAGAGAGAACTTTGCTTTCAAATGTGGCATCAACATGGGGACAATTCATGACAGCCCTCTTTTGGATTTTGCTTATGGTGGCATGGATGACTTGCTTTTGTGAAGATGATGTCCTCTACATCTCTTCACTCTTCCTTTCTTTGCTGAAAATTTAGGTGCTTTTTTCTTCAAATTAAAACGGGAAAATATTGGAGATCTCTCAGCTTCTAGAAGTTGAACAGCATCATTTGTAGCATGATGCTGTGCACATCCATCGCTAATATTCAAGAAGGAGTCGTTGACAATCTTCACATTTAGCCTAAACTGCTACTGCTGTGACAATAGCATCTTAAATCTTATTTTGGTTGTTGGAAGAGGCTTTTAGCTAAAGGCAATTGTAAGAGGTCATTTACCTCTGAAGTGTTGAGATTGTACTAGAATGTACTAGAATGTATTATTTCCGTACGAGGTTTGCTACCCACTGCAATAATAATCTTGTCATATGCAAGTAGCATCACATAAGTGGCATTCACATAGAGTATCTTTGATACAGAAGATCTTGCAGTTATGAGGTCAGCTGTTCCTCCAAGTTTAATATTGCAAGTTTCTGATGGGAGAAATCAAGCAAAGGAAAACAATTCTGGGGTAGCAGTTGCCTTCAGAGAAAGGCAGTTCTTTCTAGCTTGTGAGGAGCACATCTACAAACCCATTGTGAACATGATTACTCCAGATGACTTTAGGTTTTCTCCTTTTATTACATTAAAACATTTTATCTTGGGGGTGATATTTGGAGGGATTTAGGATGCATGTGCTCCTTGGCATTAAGAAGAGGGGAGGTCAGCTGGGCCTGTAAGATATAGGAGAGGAGGCTGTTTTAATGGTAGGTCTTATTTTTTAATATATGCTTGTCTTAGATACATTGGAACAGTAGTCTTGTGCTGCTTTGCTATGCCACTTTATACTTCTCCCCATGGGTGGGTTTACACATTCCACTAAGTAATGAAGTGGCTTGTCCAGTTTTCATTAGCATGATATGTAAATCCTAAATTTGCAATTATAGATTGGGGTTTATAGCGCAATGTTATACCCCAAAAGGTACTAAGGCACGTGGAGTAGCTTGTTCAGGAAATCATGATTTAACCTAGGCTGTCCTTCCCTCTTTTCCCCCATTACAGCAAAAGTCATTTGGCAAAGGAGGAACTGTTGATGAATTGCACTTACTTCTTATGTAAAGGCCTGCATTCTCCCATGGACCTCGTCTCCCTCCGCACGGCCTCAGGCAAGCGTCTGTTCTCCTTCCTTAGCTTTGGCTGGGGTTTTGTTTCTGATGTGGACATTACTAGTGAGAGGTACCGTAAACTGGGTGGTGCCCGTTTTACAGTGGGCACATTCCAACTCCTCACTTTACTCCAAGTTTACAAGGGCCGCCTCTCCTACCTGCCAGCCGAAGTACAAAGCTCTGTCTCAAATTCCTTGCTTCCTACAGAGGTGAATACCTGCCCCTCACCTCAGCATCCTCACCAGGTCTCCACTGCTAACGGGAAGTCTCCTGTCAACATCCTCCCTCAGCCTGCATCGTCCCTCCTGAAGGAGGATTCTGTGCTGGAAGATTCCTTGCTGGTACCCTTTGAGCAGCCAGTTCCCAAGCACTGGACTGTCATCCCTGAGGAGGAATTCGTTTCCATAGTTTGCATTCAGCAATCCCACCTGGGAACAGACTTTTTGTTTGCTCCCACAGCCAAACTGTTTGATGATGCCATCCATCTCTTCTATATAACTGCTGGCATTTCCCGGATGGGAATGCTCAAATTATTCATGGCCTTGGAGAAAGGGAGTCCATTGCCTCTTAACAACCCTCATGTCCACTACTTGCCTGTGAAAGCCTTTCGGCTGGAGCCCCTAGAGCCCAAGGGGTTTATGACAATAGATGGTGAAGTGTTGACATGTGAGCCAGTGCAAGGACAAATACACAACCGGCTAGCCCGTATTATAAATGGCTCCTGAGTGAGCATCAGAAAGAAACCGTAGAAAAGGTTTTGTGATACTGTGACACTGTGGAAAGTTGTGAAGAGATCTCCAAATGCTGCATTCAAAACACCATCACCATTATTGACAGGGATAATTCTCAGGGACAGCTTATCTTTTACTGCAACTTTTAATTGTGATGCAAATAGTGGAGGAGCTTGTCTTGCCCATGACTTCTCCCTAAGCTGCTGTGGAGTGATAGAGGCAAGTTTAGAGTCTCCTTACTCTGCATTACTCTAAGAGAAGGAAAGTATGCCTTCAGATTAAACCAAAGCCACTTCCCACACCCTTCTGTCTGGATGAAGATGTCTTAATCCTTTGCCGCTCGGAGGACCAATTTTATTATTTTGTAAGGAATATAAAAAACATACATACATGCCTTGCATGTAGTTGATTATAATTCTATGGAGAAATGAAATAAAGGCCTATTTTGAAAGAAGAAGAAAAACCCTAATGTCTGTCATCTTCATGCTGTGATTTTGGATTGCTCTTATCAAAAGGCAAAGCACTTAATTTAACATTTCACCACCTTTATCATTCAAATGCAGGTAGGTAATTGAAACACAGTCAACCAACTTTCTCCAGGACACAACAGTTTTTCAATTGGATGCACATTCAATTAACAACTTGGTTATTTCCACAAAAGTCCGAAGTGGCACCTTTATGAATTCACCTTCCTTGCATATATTCCAGGTTAACATTTGTAGTAACACATTCCATCTGACAAACTATAGTTAAATTATTAGTAGATTAAAGGTGGCTGTAAAAAAAATGGAGGGGTAGTGCCCATCTTTTTATTGTAGCGTGCTATTTCTTTTTAAATTGCTAATGCAGACAAATTATAATTAAGGGCAAGATAGTTTGGGGAGAGTGTTGTGGTGTCAGGTTTATCTATAGTTACAACTAGAGCCCAAACTGCTATTATCATCAATCTAAAAATGTGAAAAATGAAAAGAACATACACTTCACTTCCCAGAATCTCTGGATTGAGCAGTATGGAACTCATAATAAAGGAGAATTTGGAGAATGGATGCTTTAACTATACAGTTGCTTTCAACTTACATTCAGGGCCTTTATATTGGACCTATAAAATATTGTAATAAGTGGGCTTAAAGTGCTTTCGAAGCAGAACTGAGAATTCCTACTCATCCACCCTAATGCAATTCTTTGAAGTATTATATGTTGATGCCTGTGTCCCCCACCCAAAAAAGTAGGATCGGATCCTGATAAACAGTTCAGAAGTTTCAATCAGTCCCAGAGGAATTTAGGGCTGTAGATCTGCTAGAAATCTCCTTCAGGGATGATTATCCAATTTCCAAGTCCAGTAGAGAGCACAGGTACTCCCAAAGCCTACTTAGTTTTTAAGATTAAACAAGGTTGGCCTCGTGTTGCTAACTGCCAAATAGGATTTTATTCTAGCACTAGCTTTGTAAGGGTAGAAGATATTACATTGACCACATTTTGAATGGCTAGTGATTAAGATGTGCACATACGTGAACAGATTTGTTTTACCGAGTTTTGTTATGAGTAGCATTCCCCTGATACCGCTATGTACAGATAAAACTCTTCAAGAGGATTTACTAAAGTTTTGAAGTCTGCATAGCATCTACTTGGACTTCAACTGTTTAATATTAGGCTGATTCTTACAGATTTTGAAAGCAGTACAAAGCACATGCAAGTTGAATTGGCTTCTGCATTTAGCATGTATTACAAGTAGTGGAGACTATACCTCAAGTCTTAAAATGAGGCATATGTATCTTATATTTGATAAACACTGGCTTTGCTAAAACTAGTTACCAGGCTGGTTACTACAAATTTCCAAAAATCAAGGCAGAGGCACTGCGTAAAAGTATTTAAAGCACAAACTGGGATGTGGAGGCCAGATAAATACATCAATACAAGCAATTGTTACTTACTCTATTAGGAAAAAATAGAGCAGAGAACACATATAATGGCTATTGGGACATACAGGAAGATATAAAAGAACCAATTTCCAGTGCAACATCATGCTAAACATAGTAAGGGGGTAGCAATGGGAGACTTCTACTTGCCTCCCAGCCATTTTAAAACCATGGAGTCAAATAGTTGCTGCTTGGATGACTGACAAAAGTGTCAGCCTTAGGGAAAACATTTGTAATTCAAAATAATGAACCATTATCCAGGGCAGACTAAACTCAGAAATGAGTTATATCAGCATGCCAAGCTCTAAGAGAAAAAGGGCAAAGCAGCCGACTTCTGTTTTCGCAGATGAGACCTAGTTCTCATATTGTGCACCTGACAAGCAAGCCTGTACCTGGCCTGTATCATTGCAAGATCTTATGTGATTAAGGGGGGGGGGGATGGCTTAGAGCAGCTTTTAAAAGTGCTAGAGTAGATTGACTCTTTGGGGTAAGAGGCCTTTATTGCTTCTTTCCTTCCCAGGCCTTTAAGAGGACTGAAATTAGAGAGCCCAAAATATATGTGTGTGCTTCCTCTTACTTATTTTGAGGCCAAGATTATTCTAGTTTGAGGATAGTGTACGTCACTCCAGTTATTGTATCTTCCATAATAATTTATGTTGTCTTCTAGGGCAGAGGTCCCCAACCTTTTGGGTACCAGGGACTGGTTCCACGGACCGGAGGGTGCGTGGTTTTGTGTGCAGTCTGCATCTCACGGATGGGGCTTTGCTTGTTAGTGCAGACTGGTTGCTGGCATGCTGTGGCCCAGTACTGGTCCACGGACCAGGGGGTTGGGGACCTCTGTTCTAGAGCAGAAGTGAAGATTGTCATAAATCAATCATTAAGAGTATCTTTGCACCAAATTATGATATTCTAACACTCTCTTGATGCATCTTGTTAAAAAAAAAAGGAATTGTGTGCAAATTTAAAGAAGCCTTACTGAGTTGCATAAATTTATGTATGCTCTGAGAGACATAAATGTGCCTCTCTTATACAAAACTGACCAAAGTGAGAAAAAAAGAACCTTCTGATTGCAAAATATACAAATAGGACTATGATGTAATATGTATATTAATACAACAACCAAGAAAAAAGTGGGATTTTTTTTAACAGATCCTGTGACAATCAGCATAATTATTGTTGAAGCTTGAACTGTAGTAAAGGAAGCTGACAGTGAAATCAAGGAGATGGTGAAGTTTAGCACCATGAGAATTAAAGGCAAGGAGGAGGTTCCAGAGAAAACCTCCTTGTGAATGTATTATAGCATTCATAAGCCCTATAATATAAATGGTGATCCTGGGAAAGACATGTCACCCAAACCCTTTTGACATGCTGACATCCCTTTCAGTGTTTCAGGGATACATAAACCTGACACTTCAAGCTGAAACGACACACAGCATGAACAGCCAACTCTATGAAGAGCGGTGAAGGTAATGGCAAGCCACTTTCTCTCCTTTATTACTGCATCTTAATTAGCCAAACAAAATTTGCCAGTAAAAAAAGATTCATCACACAGTACTTTATACATATATTGTAAGCAACCAAGCATTCACAGCTGCAAAAGTAACATATCCCTAAGCATTGCCCCGAGATGACAGCTCCATCGGTTTTAAATACTGTACAGAATCAAGTCTATAAAGTATAGTAATATTTCTTTTCCCCTTCCCTCCCCAGCACTTAACAGATAAGATTTTAATTTATACATCACAATCATGTGGCCCATCTCAAGACTAACAATATGCCTCATGCTTTGGCTTCTTGGTGTGTATGTATAAGCGGTCTGTCTCTTTTGACAGTCTCTTCACTCTGGATTACAGACATACACCCAAAAAAGTTACACGGCTGCAATATGCCCAGTGGCAACTGCATAATCTAGAGCTTCACATTATTCAATAGCTAAAGGGGGGAGGGGGGATGTAAACTTCTGTGCATGCCTCTGGTAAGGGCGAAGAACAGCAAGGATAAAGGAGCCAGTGCTTGAGAATGTAAAAGATGTCAGCAGATTCCAAGGAGGAAAGAATAAGCAAAATCTTTGCAGGGGTAGAATGCTAGCAATTCACACAAGTCCTTCATTGTGTTTTGAGAAAGGTGGCTCTCCTGTAGCTTGCATAATTCCATTTTTGTGGTTCCTCTTGGAACCAACTGGGCAGTTACATGATTACAATTTGGAAGAAGGCAGGCTTTTGAAAAGGGACATCATGTTAAGATAGGCAGCTGGTTAATTCTCTCTGGGGAAGATGAAGTACCATTATCTGCATAAGAAATGTGACAATACCTCAGAACTGCCCCTCTACACAATTAATGGCGGGCCTGGTAGTGCAAGCAACAGGTAAATTCTATCCCTGACCTCATGCGATGACTGTATCAATCCAACTACTCTGAATTTTTATTAAGTTGGCCTCTCTTCTGAGTCATCATTGCCTGAGCCGTGATAGCTTGCCTGCTGCAAGCTCTTAAAACAGAGAACTGCCATTTCTCAAATGTTACCCTGCAATACTAAAATAATTCATTACTACATTCCAAGCCAACACAAGATTTGTGTCATTTCCCTCAATGTTCTCCAAATGGATTATTCTCTTGGGAGGATGACTAAGAGGGACATCTAGGTTGTTATCAGAGTAGGAATAATAAAGGTAAATAAATGTGAAGCCATGCAAAGATGGAAGAAACACCAAATGAAAAATAGAACGCAACTCTGTTTTGAATGCAGGAATGTGGACAACTAACCAACTGAAATTTGTTGGAAACATGCATTTTCACTCCCTGCAACCACTCCTTCATCACAATACCATTCCAGGAAACAGCTAAAGCAAATTATACAGAATCTGGGAACCATGAATATTATTAATGAAAAGGGTGTGATTTTATTTAAAGATGCTTGATTAGAGAGACCCACTGTCTACCAGAATGTAGACTTTGTTGCTGCAGAGTTGATATGAATCCATGGAGATGTAGAATCAGGCAGAACTGCCACTTTGCAAGCACACAGGTGAAAGCAGAAATTCAGAAATTATGGTTTGCACCATGCGATTTTTAGAGAATCATCCTGAGGTACCTTAGTGTTCATAGTTAATTGTATAATGTTCATGTATCCAAGGGAACAGTGAACTATGCTATATGCACTATTCCTCTTCAAGGCAAAGTGGAACAAGATATGCTATTGTACACTTAAGACAGACCAAAAATTCCAAGTGCTCATCTCATCGATACAGTTTACCTTGTGCTTACTTGCTCCTCATGACTAAGAGATTAAGCAATTAAGGAAAGTAAGCTGCTTACATTTATCATTTGGTGGCTTTCATACAGCACATCCCCTTAGTTCCAATAGATATAGTCAACAGTGAAAATAACTAAGAATGATGCAGGGCAGAAACGTGGGCTATTCATTTCCTTCTAATCAATAGACTTTAGTGAAGTTAGGTCAGGCAGTAGAAGAATATTACAGCATTACATTTTTCCAACTAGATACTGAATAAGGATCTTTCAGAATTTTATCAGTCTCCATTTTCAGCAATATCCACACCACCCAAGAACTCAAACAAGGAAGGAGTCGTCACTTCATTGACTAGGAGCTGAAAGATCCAATCCCAACTTCACTAAAGTTCTGAAATGGAAAGACCACAGCACCTCTCTTCACAGAATCAAGCCCCAGGGGCTCATTTGTGTGAGAAGGGATGGGGGTGGAAGGAAGTGATTGTGTGTGTGTGTGTGTGTGCTCAATCATCCTGTGCATCTGGAATGTGATTAAAAAGACAGCCTGAAATGAGTTATGGAATTCTGCTTCTCTATAACAAACCAAGCCAAGGAGGAAGGAGTGCAGTGAGACAGTCTATTTATTGTTAACAACTTTTGCTAGGTTCTTCCTCCCTGTGTCCCCCTATCTTTCTGTGTGCCTGTCTGTCCCTAACTTGATTTTTTTTTATTTATCTTCTGTCCACTCAGGGATACTAGCCTCTACTAAGGCAGCCCGGTACTGCTGCAAGACACCACGGATGCTTTTTATGAACCCTTTAGACAATGGAAAGAGGGGGAACCCAATATCAGGGTAGCCACTCCTCTCAGGGAGAAAGCTCCTGTAGCTCTTTCTCCTTTTCTTTGGTTTCACACTTGGCTGAGCAGCAGAGTCCTGAGCGGCTTTACCCTCATCTGTTATGTCTCTGGCAAAATGTGCTTCTCTGGCCTGGCCCATGCTCTCAGAGTCTGAACACTGATGGGTGTCACTAGCAGCCACCGTTGACATTCCACAACCGGAGTCTTCCAGCTCCTCCTTGCCATCAGAGAGTTGGCTAGCTGCTCCTGCAGCCCCTAACTCTTGCTCTCCCAATGGCCCCATACTGTCTACAGGACTCTCGGCCAGAATGCCTCCCGCTGAATGCGTAAAGGAAGACTCTGCCAGACTGGCGTGATCATGGCTCCTCTCCACCAGTTCATTGGTCTCCACCCAGGACTCAATACGGTGGATCAGGCGCCAACCGTTGCAGCAGAAATGCTCATAGATCTCCTGCTCAAATACTTCTACGGGCTTGCGCAGCAGTTGCATCATTGACTGCACCACACGGATCAAAGCCATTTCATTGTAGCATCGGCTGTTTTCATAGCCCTCTTGTAAGCCCCGGTCACTGTCAAAACCAGCCTCATTGTAATAAGGCTCATTGACTAGGATAAGCCCTAGTAGTAAAAAAAAAAGGTGGGAAGGGGAAAGGAAGGTAGAAAATAGCGGGAGAAATAAGATATTTAGTACATGTATAATTTGGAAACGTACATGCATGCTGATGGAACATATTTTACTTAACATATATATAATATACAGTTGGAAAAGAAACAGAATATACAAATGCATCAGGACAATGAACGTACTGGAATTTAAGATAAAAGTGAGAAGCAAATATTCTCTATTTTGGAAAACCGTATGTTTCAGTCTACTAAAATATTTTTTTATTTAAGATTGGAAATCAAAATAATCTTCATTTAAAGCGCAATTGTTCCAAATTTGAATTATTAATCCCAATTTGCTGGGTTCTATTATTTTGTGAAGTTGAACTCAACCATGGAAGCATTTGATGAAAAGCCATTACAATACAATCTCTTCAAGATTTTGGAAAATGATAGAAAATTTCCTTTTTGGAGACATTGGAGGAGAAAAAAAATTCAATGAAGAGAAATATAGAAGGAGAGAAGTCCAAATGCTTTTTGAAAAGGCTATTTTAATATGAAGGTCATTAAGTTTTGGACTAATGCTTTCTTGCTTTTACTTTTTCAAAGTACTTCTAAGAAAAGGTCCTATTGCCCTATTTTTCTTATAGGTTCTCTTTATATCAAGCCAGATGTTCAGATTATTCCTGCCTCCTATTGTTAAGCAAAAGTTAAGTAATTTAGACAACCTGTTAATATGAGAAACTGCCTTTTTAAAAAAAAAAACAATATCCCCTAACTTGTTTGGAGATACTGTTACAATCTAGCAGATCTACAAGGAGACACATCATATACATCATGTACATGGATAACCACTGCACAGTTCTCCATGAGAAACACGCTTACTGTTCTCTAAACATAATAATCTCAGAAGATTTATAGCGTATGAAAAAAATGTTCCACTGTTCCAGTCTGCTCCTTGCAATGAGGGTCTAGGGTTCTTATTACAGGTAACTGTTGCACTGCTTTTTATAAAAGTGCGCTGGATAGCTGCCAAGAATGGCAATGATGTAGCATCCATGAATAACAAAAAAGAAAAGAAAAAGGACTATGCATATCAGCTTGGCATTTCTTTGTTTTTATCCACACGCTCACAAGCTATCTGCAGTTAATTCTCCACATTGGCAACTATCCTATTGGTGGCTGTGGCTTTGCCTTTTAGGGCATGAAATAAATAGCCATGGACATCATTGTTACTGAACAAGGAAAACAACCCACAGTCTGGCCAGCCACACACACAAAAAAAAACAACAACACATTTTCCTGTCTATTGCAGGAGGTTTTGACCTGATCTTTCCTTCTACCGTTTTACTGGACTTTACCTTGGATTGAGATGAGCACCTGGAGAAGGCTAGATTTACTGGTCCACCTCTCTGTGCCCTGGAATAGTCAAATAACAGCAAGCAGTTAATTCAACAGCAAGGACTACATAGCATTAAAAGGCAGTCACAGCAACTTTTAAGAACAAGGCATTTGGAACGATCCATGTTCGGCTGACTTCCATTCCTATCACAACATTACTGTTCATATAAATGATGTGAATGTTTTTGTGACTAGAGACTCTGGGTTAAACAAATTTTGAGTGTGAGGATAGGATACCTTTCTTGACATTTCTAATAACAAAGTTAATGTACTGTAAGATAGGGTTCTATTATATTTGTAACGCCCACTGAAAGACAAATGAATATTAATCCAACTGGAAAACCAATAATAAAAATGAAAGTGCTATAAGGAACACAAATAGAATATATATTTAATACAATTTTTTATTATGGGAACAGAGTTGGGTGGTAAGTATCCATACAATTTTTATGAGGTAGTGGGTGGAGAGAAGACTATTTCTGAAGAAAAGAACTCTGAAATGAGTTGGGAAGAAATTCTAACAATAGATGTTAGTTTCATTTGCTACATTCAGTTTATATTTTGTCTGAACCAAAGTAGAGACCACTGTGAGAACTAGATTCCAAATGTGTGGGTTCTGCAGTAGGTTATTTTTAACAGTTGGTAGCTAGAGACAAACTGTGCACATGATATAGTTGGACAATACTGTGGATTAGAACAGTATCTTTGAACAACAGACACAGTAAGCCAGCCTTGCTGTTTGAGTCAAACCATTAAAGAAAGCATTGCAACTGCATGCAGTTTATGATACCGAATAACCCAGGTCAAGAGTTCTATAGAAAAAGTCAGCAGCAGTTTTACCTTGCCTATCCATGTGCCCAGAAGGCTTACGCAAACCTTTCCATTGTCATACAAATTGGGATTCAGTCTGCCACTGCACTGGGAGAGGTAACGGAAGAGTGGGGGCACAGCTGGATAGATATTGGGGAGTTGGATGTCAAATAAAAAGAGGCCATCTTCGTACGGTGTGCGCGTAGGTCCTTTGACTAGTGCTGAAAAGAGATCCTGTAGAGAGGCTATGTGTAAGTCCATGCAATAATCCATAAAGAGGAGCCAGAGCTCCTGTTATATCCAATGCTATTAAGAAAATGCACATAAGCATCCTGTTTGGTTTCTATCGGGCATCAATATGCTTAGAATACACCCCAATAATTCATGGGAGACTGTACTTTGACTAAATGTTCAGAAAAGGCTCTCAACAATAATTTCTGTTCTATTAAGTTGGTCTGTTCCACATTTGCTGAGTAACACAGAAATATTAGCCCATACCAAATAAAAATACTACTATTATGCAAACTGAGAATATGTACTCTCTTGCTTAGACTAAACATTCAAAAAATGATTAAGTTCTGCTACATTTAATAGCCATTATATTGGTAAAGTTATTCAATTAACTCCTTCCACTCATATATATACACTCAGGTGTTTATTTACAATCTTAAGGAAAATATAGAACAAATGTAGCTCTTAGTTTTAATTATCTGCTAACAGATAAAATGAATTGGGGATTTTTTTTTCTTGTGTAAAAAAAACAACTTTTTTCATTAAGAAATACCTTAGATGCACAGAAATACCATTCTTTTTAGAATTTTTTTAAAAAATTGTACCTAGGAATACCTTTCTTTATGGACAATGAAGTTCATATACAAAGGTATACATGACTTACCATTCTGTCTTCAAATGTTTTGACCATGATACCATCTGGCAATGAAGTTGCTAACAGAGCCATTTCTTTCCTCACTGTGCTGAAAAACTTCTTGGCTTCTGGAGGCTGAAACTCCATTTTCTTAAAGGCATGGCTATCTAATGAGGCAATAAATAAATAAATTGGGGTAGCAGATTACCGAAATTTTCACATTCTCCTTTGCTCCTAACATTTGCTAGAAACTTATATAATAGGGTTAGTAAGATAGACAAAAATAACTCTGATATGCTATCCTTGTAACTGGAAACTAGCACTAAAGTTATAAAAAATAAGGTAATTATTAACAAATATTGCCAGACTGCTGAAATGATGCTTGTATTAAAATACACTGTGTGGCCTGATCAGGGATCGCTATCAAAGATTGTTGGACTGAATGCAAGTCACTGCTGTAAAGGCTCCATACAAGACCAGATAAAGTTACAAGAGAGATATATAGAGAAAAATTCAAGTGAGAAGGTGAAGAATAAGAGTCCAGATATATACCTGGCGCATATGTTTAGAAAGAAAGGGGGGGCACTATAACTTACTTTCAAACACTGGTCCCAATAAAACAGAATTACAAATTTAGGGCTTTCTAGAAATTGATGGTCTTCAATTTCCCGGATACAGGCCAGGCTGAGTGGAGCTAATAGATTGCATTATTATTAGAATGTCCCTAAGGCCTATCCTTAGCCCCACTTTTAAAACTGACCTGGAGCACACTCCAACACCGAGAAGACTTCCCCCTTGGCACTGGTGAAGGTAACACCAGGCTTGCCTCCACTCTGTTGACAAAGCACTGGGGTTTCACTGGGCCATTCTGATGCCACTGTCTGCGTCTGTGTCTGAATTTCTCTCTCTTCTTTCTTCTCTGCCTCTGCCATTGCCTCCATCTTTTCTTCTTCCACAATAGCTACGTTGTCCAGGGTTTTCTTCAGATTCTCCTGCAGCTTCTTTATATCATCTAGAAACTTCTTTTCCCGAGTAGGCTTTTCTGGCTCAACTGTGGGAGAGGTTGGGTAGCCTGTCAGCAGTTGTTCAACTGTCATATTCTTCAAGCTTTCCAAGATCTTAATGGCCTCCTTCAACTCTCGGAAACTCTTTGGGGTGGCTTCCTTGCCTGCCTTATCTGTTGTTAGATCAGCCACAGCCATTGCCACAGCACCTTGTACTTGTTCCTCTACCTTTTTCACCTCTTCCACAGGTAGTTTCTCAGGTTCAACTTCTTCGATTTTTGGATGGTCATCTTCCATGAGGCCATTATCTGTCTCCCAGCTATCGCTCTCATCCTCCCATTCATCTGAAGAAGCACCACTAGTGCTACCATCTATGGAATCAAGGTCTGTCTCCTCATCCATTTCAGATTCTATGTTGTACAAGTGCTAGAAGGCAGAATGACAAAGAGGAAGAGCCTCAGCACATGGCAAAGCACACAATCCATTTTATTTCATGATAACGTAGTCTGATTTTCCTTTTTTCAAAAGGGATCAGCCACATTAATTGCAAACCCAGAATTCCTTAAGGTGGGCTACTATATTATTTTTTTCAAATAAATAAATTCTTTAAATAAATAACTCTTTTAAACTAACAGACATTTTTCCATTCATGGAATACCTCAAAGGTTAAACTCCCACTGGGAAGCAGACCCTACACAATTCATAAATCTGGAATGCTTAATCAGCATTTATCTCTGGAATTAAAGGGGATCCTGGGTTTGTTGTAGTTATTTGAAAAGAGGCTAACTGGTGCTGACAGCTTGCAACAGATCAGAGAGCAATATGGATTATCTTTTTAGACTGAAGTCCCCAAGATAGCTGTGTTATCTTAATTACCTTTATGCTATTTAACTTCACCCTTGCTATTTCTGTTAAGCTGCATGTTTTATAAGACAACTAAGAGACAGAAATCCCTGAATTAATCCAAAACATCAGTTACCTTTTTCTCAGACATTGCTCTGTCAGTAACAGTCAATCTGAATAATCTTCAGTTCCTTACTTCATCATTACAGAGCATAGGGAGTCAATGTCCTTGATTTTTTTTTAAAGAATCATGATCTTTCTGACATTTTTCTGCATTTTTTTTTTGTAATGTCCTTCAGGCTATCATACACCCACTCTCCCACTTTCAAAGCTCAATAGATTTTGATAAAATGCAAGTCTCTTTTTTTCTCTCTCTCTCTCTCTATATATATATTATAAAAATGTACATATATCCTTCAGCATACAGGTTTATATAGGATTATGACATTTATTCTATAATACAAATAGAGCCATGGAAACAGGGAAAACATTTTTATATAAAACATATTTATAATGCAGAATTGCACAGACAACCTGCCTTCACGGAAGGTTCCTCCATGTGATATGATCATGTGTGACAAGAGCAGGATGGGATATACCAGAGGGCTTTGTATCACACAGCCACAGTTCCGGCACTGGACTATAATTAAACAGGAACTGTTCTGTTCTATTTAAGAAAAGGAAACCTTGAATGTTGTATTCATTTAGTAGGGTTCTGAAGCAAGAGCAGGCCCTTTACTTGTGTTTCAATAGCATCTGTGCTATACTGAAACAAAAAGACAGAAGCAAACTACAATATTTTAATATAATATATTAAGTTAATGGTCATTAATTTTGTTTTTGAGACAAATGCAGGAGTTCCTTAAAAGATATATTTATTATAGGCCTTAAAGACTGCATTAAACTTCTTTCAAAATAACAGGCCACATTTAGATTCCAAGAATAAAGCAACTATATAATAGCCTAAAATCTTGGGAAAGTAAAATTTGATTACTAAAAAAAAAAACCCACAGCAGCAAAATCAGAGAAAACTGCTTTTATTACACATTGTTACTGAGATGCCAATAGAACTAGTTTAATGAACTAAGAGAGCAATTTCTCATATATTCTAGAAAACACCAATACATGGAAGCTACTTAATAAAAAGGAGATAACTAACATTTTACATCAACTGGAAAGCAGCTTATTATTTACCTGTGGCAGAACAATTGTCCTGGAATTATCTGCCCATACAACTTCTACTTTACTGCTGAAATCCACTCGGGCCACCTGTCCAACAGAGGGCTAAAAAAAAACACAAAAGCATCCATTATTTATTTTATAATCTACACCCTACCCTTTTATAACCATCCAAGTAAGGTAATCAAGGTAGATGAGCACACAATAAAAATGTAATGTTTAAAGCTATGTCATTAAACTTAACAAAAGCACAAATACTGATATCATCCTTACATCAATTCAAATGGCTAGGTAAAGAGGCCTATTTTAAAATTAAGAAAGATTTGCTAAATCAGGCCCAAAGCCTCTCAGTTCCAATGCTTTATTCCCCTAGGGGCTGCCATATCTTTACAGAAGTCCAAGAATTTGAACAAGACCACAACTATTGAGGGGCATATGGAGTTTCTAATTATCAAGACAAATTCCAACAGGATGTTGCCTGTTCCCCTTCCCAGTTTTACCACAGGGTAAACTGGTAGACAGGGCAAAAAGAAAGAAACAGACTGGGTCAACGAAGTTAATCTGAAACAAACACTACATGACGCTGATCTGGCATTAAGAATGTAGGATCTTTGAGCTGGAGATTTACCTTTGTAGTGCGATTACATTGCACCAAAAAAGTGATCATTGACAAGGATAGTTAAGTTTCATTCCCTATAATTCTGCATTCTCCCGTACCGCACATATCATTTCCCCTTGATAGTTGGTTTCAAATAATTTCCAACCTTTATCATTCAATTTTATCTTTCAACACTGGCCTCCAATTAAAAATAGCAGAAAAGATATTGCCATGTTACAAAACGTACGTCCTCTCTACACATGTGTACATGACTGGGAGAATGGGTAGGTGGGTAGGACAGTATAAAGCATTTCCATCCTGGGTTGAAGTTCCCTAAGGCTGAGTTCCCCAACCTTTTGGGCACCAGGGACTGGTTCTGTGGAGAGAGGTTTTTCCATGGACTGGAGGGTGTGTGGTTTTATATGCTGCCTGCATCCCGCAGATGACACTTTGCTTGTTTGTGTGGAATGGGAGTTGGGGACCCCTGCCCTAAGGAGATGGTCCCCTTTCTATAGCTCAGCTATGCAATGTACCAATGATAGCTAGCCAGGTGGGAAAAAAACCCTCTCTTTGAGACATTTAAGAAGAAAATATTTCTGTTGGGAAATTGAAAATGTGAGCAGCACAGCTACTCAAGAGGAAGATGGTCCCCTAAAAAGGGAATCTAGACAGGCAGATAAAAACTCTAGTCAGGCAGGAACCTCGTCTCTAACTTCTGGAATAATAATTATTGCCTTTTCCAGGTAAATGATAAACAGGACCAAGAATATAGTACAACCAGAGGAATTAAGACTGCAACAGCCACCATAACCATTACTACTAGAAAGATTTCATGTACAGCATGCTTTCTAAATTAATTTCAAAGGCAGTGGAGAGTACCTTTAAAAATCCTTTCCACTGTCTCAATTATGCCTCCCTTTGGAAGAAAACAAATTTTGACTATTGAAATAACAATAACAATTACAATAATAGAGTTGGAAGGGACCATGGAGGTCATCTAGTCCAACCCCCTGCTCAGGCAGGAAACTCTATACCATTTCAGACAAATGGTTGTTCAGTCTCTTCTTACAAACTTCCAGTGTTGGAGCATTCACCGCTTCTGGAGGCAGGTTGTTCCACTGGTTAATTTTCTAACTGTCAGGAAGTTTCTGCTTAGTTCTAGGATGCTTCTCTCCTTGATTAGTTTCCATCCGTTGCTTCTTGTCCTGCCCTCAGGTGCTTGACTCCCTCTTCTTTGTGGCAGCCCCTGAGATATTGAACACTGCTATCATGTCCCCCCTCATCCTTCGTTAAACTAGACATACCCAATTCCAGCAACTGTTCCTTATATGTTTTAGCCTCCAGTCCCCTAATCATCTTTGTTGCTCTTCTCTGTAATCTTGCTCTGTAAGCTTGCCACCTAGTGATGGTTTAGAAATTGAGATTTGAGCCTGCAGTTCTTAAGTTTCCAGCTTTCATAGAAAGCAGACATAGAATCTGCCCAATTCACCTTTGATTGAAGGAATGTACGAATGTGAACAAAGGCTTCAGATGATCCATGCCAAGAACAAACATATATTCTAACCAGATGTATTTTGGAGGAAAAAGCAAGTGGGAGAAAGTCACGGACATCTGGCATGTGAAGGTTGGCTAACAAGGAAGGAAATAGCTGGGAATATTGGACAAGCAAAGTTCTGGCTGAATATACCATACCTGAAGCTAAAGGCAAAGGCAGGGGAGGAAAGGAGTGGGAAGATTGGTGGCACAGAATGGCAATTCAGAAGAGGGTGAGATGTTGTGCATCAGCCTTTTCGTACAGGTCCTCAGGACGCCCTGAATGTTGCTTCAGCCAAAATCTGGATAGCTACTGAATGATAAGAGGCCACCTCGCACACTTCAGTAGTACTTCCAAAACTCAGGATAAATGTTCCAAATGTACGTAAACACAATTACTATTTTGTGTATAAACCTAGTTGGGCTACACATTCAACCAGAAATCAGATTTTAAAAAGTTGTCCAATAGAAAATTATAGCCGAAACCTTCATTACTATTAATATGAAACCTTCAATACAGTTTTGTTACTAAAGAAAGTAATTAGAAAAATAAAATTGGTCTGTTGGGCTTGTTGCTCAAACTCTATAAAAAAATTAACATTTTGCAGCTATTTGACTTTCTTTTGGTTGTAATCAGCATTTGATTCTGCTACAACAGTAAGAACTCTTTTCTAGGGATTTATGTGAAGAGATTCTCTTGCATAAAGCACACAGCATCTATTTCCACTAAAAAAGCATTTAGATGAAAGCCCAAATGCCTTTTAGTTCAAAGCAGAAGACTGAAAACAGATATCTGGCCCAACATCCCACTTTTTAAAGTCACGGTTCTCACAAATTGTGTCAATAACATTCTTTACCACTCACCTCATTTTCACCAATCGAAGCACCATCCTCGGCATTGCCAATGCGGATTACAAAATCAGTTGTGCGGAAGCGGAAGTCTGGGTGATCAGCAATGTCATACACACTAACATCCTCCTCCTCCCCAACCAGCTGGAAAACATCACACAGAGATAAAGACCGGTCCACGCACAAAGTCTCAAAAGTTCAAAATCTCATGATTCAACCCTGTGCTCCTTTTTTATGTGCTGCTGTTATGTAGTGACCTGCATAATACTTAAGTGTCTTTTTTTGTTGTTGTTGTTAATTGCGAAGTCGTGTCCGACCCATCGCGACCCTCGTCCCCTTCTTCTATTGCCCTCAATCTTTCCCAGCATTAGGCCCTTCTCCAGTGAGTCCTTCCTTCTCATTAGGTGGCCAAAGTATTTGAGTTTCAACTTCAGGATCTGGCCTTCTAAAGAGCAGTCGGGGTTGATCTCTTCTAGGACTGACCGGTTTGAACGCCTTGCAGTCCAAGGGACTCGCAGGAGTCTTCTCCAACACCATAGTTCAAAGACCTCAATTCTTTGGCACTCAGCCTTTCTTATGGTCCAACTTTCACAGCCATACATTGCAACTGGGAAAACCATGGCCTGGACTATACGCACTTTTGTTGGCAGGGTGATGTCTCTGCTTTTTAGAATGCTGTCTAGATTTGCCATAGCTTTCCTCCCCAGGAGCAAGCGTCTTTTAATTTCTTGGCTGCAGTCCCCATCTGAGGAACCACTCCTAAATCTGCCATCTCACAATGTGAGTGGCACTGAAAAGAGCTCATTTGACAGTGCCAGTCACCTCCTTTTTTGGGGGGATATCAGTTGCCAAACGTATTTCCCCAAAAAGGACATAAAGCTTATGTATAGTTTATACTGAGCTATCTGAAAACAAGAGGGAAGCTTTTGATCTCAGGCACTTAACAGCTGAACACAGATATACTGCATGTAACATATTTACCTAGTATGTTACTGCTCAATATTGATTCTGAAGATGTCTGGTAGGGCTCTGTACACGGATTTGTATTGTGTGAGAACCTTTAAGTATACTGTGTTATAAGCATCATCTACATACATTAATTCAGAGCCGTATTCTCTTCCAGACTGAATTTTATGCACATTTAAGATTGTCTAAATACAAACTTTGATAATGATGATTATGCCTTTGAATCAGTTTTAAGTCCTGATGACTGCCTGGACTGCAATTTTCTTGGCCGAGTTTTTCAGAAGAGGTTTGCCCTTCCCTCCTTCCTAGGGCTGATAAAGTGTCTGGCTCAAGGTCACCCATTTCCAGCCTGGACAAAAATATAACACTCTTCCCCAAATGTTTTGATAATTGGATAGTTTTTGTTAGGCTCTTGTAGTTAAATCTTAATTTAGCTTAGCTTAATTTCAGCAGTGAAAATTAATCCTAGATCCTCTTAGGAAACAGACTGAATATCGACAGAGCTAGTAGAATACTGGGCACATTTATGTACACATTCTGCTTTTTCCTCGAAGCTCAGAATGAAATTCTCCTCAGAAAAAAAATTTTTTTTTACACCCATTTAGCAAAACAAACTTTTATTGGAAGAGGCCAAGACAAGAAAGCAGAGCAGAGCAAAACAAAACAAAAAACCCACAACCTTTACTTCCTACCTCCACATCATCTCCACTCGGTCTCAGCTTGAACCATTTCACCACACACGTGCGACCAACATGGTCGCCTGACTGCACCACTCCGTACATACCAGGATCCTGAGAACTCTGAGCTGTTTAGGATTGAAGAAAGAAGCAGACTCTAGTAGGAGAAAACAGTGCACTGTAATTTTGTTTCTCCAATTATTTTGAGAAGTATTCGCTAATTTTTTTTCTTGACTTACACTTTATTGCTGACGATGAATTAAAAAAATTGAAAAAACCTTCCTTAGTTGGCTTTGACAGCTAACCAAACTTGTTCTTGTCCATAATTGTGTCTGTCCTTAATGGCTCCATTATACTGAATATAAGAGCCAGTGCAACTGTGAGGGCTGAGCCCTTGCCTCCCCCAGCTCAAGCTTAGAGAGGGATGGGTTCACATTTCCACTATGCAGCAATGAGCAGAAAGCAGCATGGGATTTCTCAGTTTTCCAAGTTCCTCCAAGGTATTGTCTGCAGCCATCTGCTAGCATGGCTTTTAAAATAATGGATGTGCCAAGGAAAAAACATGAAAATTCACCTCAGACAAATTTTAATTATTTGAATCAATGTATTTGTTTTTAACATGTTTTGTTCATTTTTTAAAATTGGTCTAGCTTAAACTTACTCTAGGAATATTGGTTCTGAAGGGAAAATACATATGTTTAATATATAAGATACACACACACACACATATGCTTTATAATATATCAAACTTAAATTATTCAGGTAATTATATAAAAACAACTGTTCTCAGAATCTCTTAGACAGCATCTTTGGATGGCACCTTTCTCTGACCTAGAGTGGCAGGAGAATTTATTAATTCTTTAATAAAGGAGGAAGCATATGGTTCTTGCACTTAAGGTGGATAGATTAAAGCATCCTCTTATTCCCAACTCTAAAATCTAAGCAAATGGAGTTAGGCAAGAAATAAAGAATAAACTATACAAATTAATGGTTAGCTGAACACACGATACCTTTAGAGATAATGTAAACTAGGATTACAACTTCCAGAATTCCTAGTCAACATCATTCAGACTGACTGATATTACAAACCTGGAATGCCAACTCATCTAGGCTTCATCAAGATAAGAAAAGTTGCATGAGATACTACTGGCAATTTGAAAAACTGGATTGAAAAATTCATGTATAAATTGTTAATAATAAACACATTATCCAGAGGGAATACATTTCACCAATTACCTCTTTTATCTACTACAAAATCCCCAGGGCAAAACTCATTATTGTCCAAATGATGGACAGGAAAGAGCTCATTGGAACGAATATTTTTCTCCACCATGCCATCCTGCCACATCACATCTGCTGATGTCATCGTGGTCACCACTTCTACAGCAACCCTGTTTCCAAGAAGGATAGAAAATTACTAAGGAAAATTCTCACAGCAAGTCAGGATAAATATTTTTTAAAAAAACTGTGGCATTTTAAAACATCATAAAGAATTGACTTTAAAGCTGGATCTAATACAAAAGTAGCTTTTGAGAGAAAAACTTTTGGCTGCAAAAGCTGGTCAACTGAACATAATGTAGGGATTAAATGGGCACCATGATTATGCTAAAAATGGAGCAAAAGTCCTAGTCTTTATGAGGGAAGATTGTACTACAGAGCTGCCATTTTTCTGAAATTATCAATGAATCATTTCACTTCTATCTAACCCGAGTGGATGGTAAAGAGAAAATATAAAAATTACAAAGCAATATTAATCTTCCAAAACTGATATGTGGCGTTTCAATATGCTATTCTGGTGTTCACAATCAGCTCAGGCCAAGCCACAGAAGCGTCACTTGCTTTCAAAATGCATGGAGGATTGGGGTTACATGTAATTTTGGAGGCAGAGAATTACAAAAGTGGGAATTACCAAGGAACAACCGTCTACACCAGTGAGGGTGAACCTTTTAGAGACCGAGTGCCCAAACTGCAATCCAAAACCTACTTAGGCATCGTCGAGTGCCAGATGGCTGTGGCCCATTGGCTGAGTGTGGCCAATTGGGTGGGCGTGGCCCGTGGCTGCAGTGGTAACGGCAGACTGGGTGGGACTAAAAAGTTCAATCAATCAATTCCAACTTTGCAAGATCTTTTTTTTTTCCCACGAGAAGTTGAAATTGTCTGATTGAACCTTTTTTTTTTTTTTTTTGCAGATGGCGGCGGAGGCGTAAAGCGAAAAGGTTTTATAAAACCCAGCTGAAGGCCTAGGACTGGGACGACGGCACGCGTGCCCAGAGAGGGCTCTGAGTGCCGCCTCTGGCACCCGTGCCATAGGTTCGCCACCACTGGTTTATACCATCTGTACTTCACAAGGGGTAGAGACTCTTAACTGGCTCTCCAGATTTATAGGGTAGAGATGTATAGAGTCTCCTGCTTAAGCGGGGGCTTGGACTAGAAGACCTCCAAGATTCCATTCAACTCTGTTATTCTGTTCTGTTATTCTGTTATTTCTAGTCTGGACATATTCAAAGCTGATAAATGCTTCAGTATGTAATGCTTTAAAAGAAATGAACCAACATTTTGTACTGGGCCAGGTACCAAGAATTATCCTTTCAGAAACTCCCTTAATTTTCCAAAAAGGTTATTATTTTAATAATGGTGATCAATGACATCAATGTCAATATATTGGAGTTTGATTAGTGCAAAATGAGCACCGAGTCAACTATTATTTTGGGTAAAAGCTTTTATGCTTTGCTTAACTCTTTGTTCCCTAAAGAAGGTATACGTTGTAACTGGATACCTATTTAAGATATATCAAACTGTATCTTAAAATAGATATAACTGGAAAACTGTATCTGTAGTTTGCGGGCAACACAAGTCTTCTTACACTCTCACTAAGAGACACATTTTACTATTTACATGTTTTTTTGAATTATGTACAGTGTTTAGCAAGAAATCAGGACAGGTAGAGCTTAATGACATATATAGGTAGGATGGTATAAGTTCTGGTCTTACCTGTCACCTGGTTTAAATTCCCGGGAAACCTTGGTTTTCTTTTTCTTATGTTTCCTCTTGAGGTTTTTAATAGAAAGCGGGATGCTTTTTTTACGCCCTGCACCACTGCCGCTCTGAGACGAGGCTGTGGAGCTGGCAGAAGATGTTACAGAGCTGGTGTCATCTGTGTCATCGGCTGCTTCATCATCAGCATCCTGCTCTATAGACTGCAGATTGTAGTCTGAGGAGCCATCATCCCGTTTCAGGACAAAGGCTGGTTGCATCTGGAGCCCAGCTGCTTCACAGGACAAGCCTTTCCTTGTTTCATCAGTGTGCTCTCTTTTTAAGTCCTGCAAGCCTATAGTGTCACTGAAGGAGTCCTCTGCTCCACATTTCAAATTGGCTTTAAGATGTTCAGGCTGTTGGTCACCTGCTGCAGCAGATTCTCCTTCAGGGAGATCAAGGGCATTCTGAACGTCTGGGGAACACGACATGATCTTCACTATTTGTTTCTTCAGTAGTCTCCTTACCTATAGGGAATCAGCGCAGGTCAGGGAACACAAAAATTTCCCACCGCTTAAAGAAATTAAGCCATTTTTTTAAAAAAATGTGGTCTTCATTTACATCATACTGATATCGGTTATATTCAAATAGCAGATTGGTATAAGGAATAAAAAATAGTATATCACTCAATATATTTATATGGTGGAAGAAAGGATGATTTGAAAATTATAGAGATACAGTGAATGGTGCCACTGCAAACTGCATAGACCAGCGGTTCTTGGCCTGTGGGTCGCGACCCCATTTGGGGTCGAACGACCATTTCACGGGGGTCACCAAACAATGCAGTCCGCCATTTTTTCCCCCTTTTCCTTAGCTGTGCTACTCCCTTTTATTCTATTGGCTTTTGAAAGCCAACAGAATAGACTCTCTTGAATAGAGTCTAATTCTATTGGCTTTCAAAAGCCAATAGGAATTGTCCAGGCTGTCTCTGCCCTGCTGAGCCCACCAAAAATCCCATTCTGCAAACGGTGCTGCAAGTTGTCTGCAGCGAATGCGAGCTTTCTGGAAGTTTCCACCCCTCCCTGCTGAGCAACTACTAAAAATGTAAGTAAAAGAGGGCCAGGGGTGGGAGGCCAGCGGGCGCAGGCCGGGTTGCTGGCGCGCGTGGGGCCCGGCAGGTGCCTTACCTCCCTTGGGCTGGGCCAGTTGGTGGCCTAGCCGGTGGTCGGCCTGCGCTGTCTCTGCCACTTGCCAGCTACGCCTCGGCCGGCGCAGGGGGCGGCACCGCGCATGCGCGGCGTTCCCGGGCAGGGTAAGTCCTCGATTTACGACCAGTTGGGTAGTCCTTGACTTACAACCGGTTGGGTAGTCCTCGACTTACGACCGGTTGGGGTCACGGCATTAAAAAAGTTGAGAACCACTGGCATAGACATGTATCCTTTTTTTTTTGTTCGTATCTATGGTTTTAAACACGTTCATACTGTTATACATATATACTATCACTAACAGCTGCTTACACTGCAAAGAAATAGTGTGATAGTTAAGTATGAAGAACATTATTAAAAATGGTTATATTTCATAATCCTGCTAGTCATTTTAAAAAGCTACACTGATAAATTCTTTAGAAGTACTGAAGATTCAAATACAATGTTATGAATAAATTTCAAAACCTGCCACTGACTTTTATTTCAGAAAATGAAGAGTTTAAAATATTAACTTTTGCCAGGGACAAAACATTATTTATTTATACTGAGACACTTGCAACTGAATTTTAGGTAGAAATTTATTGAATATTAAGGTGTTTTCAGATAGACAACAAGTGTATATTACAGTACCTTTTCAGGTTTTACATTGGATACGAAACAAGGACAGGCCATCTGCAATATTAAACACCACCATTTTGGTATTACTATTGAATGCAAAGGATTGTTAACAGAAATAAAATACATTTAGAAAATTATTCCACAGTTTTGGAAACATTCCATTCACAGTTTCATTTGTATTGTAACCCCTAAAATCTATTAAAAATAGATTTCCCAGTTATGTTTTTCTCAGAAGAAAATGCTAATTGAAAAAAAAAATACTATTACTTGAAACCATTCAGGCAGAATGCTAGAAGCCTGACAAAGTCTTCCACTTTTTAAATCTCTAAACATGCATGGGAAGGTTTAGCTTTAGCTAAGAAATGTAATATATATATTTAAATATATCTTGACTCCTCAAAGATTACTTAAAAGGGATGGTCACTGGATTTCCAATGCTGGCACTCATTTGAATATTCTTTAAATCACACAATTTGGCCTTCTCCAGATACAGTCTTGTTGGTTTTAGATTACTAAATAAATCAATGCAATTTGGGGAGGAAGTAATGTATTTAAGGATCTCAATATGTTGTTGAATTATATTCCTGAAATGTGGAATTTCTCATTTCATCAAGCCCCGGCAACGGCAAAGAAGTTAATTTTACATCCTTGGAAAGAAAGCTACTCTCCTGATTTTAAAGAATGCATTCAAGATATGAGTTAGCTAATTCTTTTAAAAAAGTCTCTGTGTTCTAAAAATGAGGAAATAGCACAATGTGTTGATATATGGTCTAAATTTAATGATAAGTTAAATGACTGAATTAACTTTATATTGTTAACTACAGTTATCCTATGGATTCTTTTTCTGTTCCAATTTCTTTTGTTATACCAGATTTAGTTTATTTTGTGAACGAAGGCAAATGTGTGTGTCCTAGAATAATGTGAATCGGTCACCGGCTCAAAGGTTTATTCTTTCAAGATTTCGGACTTGTGCTGGAGCCCATTCTCAAAGAATTCCTCTCTTTTTATCTCCAGTTACTCTAACTCAGGGGTTCCTGGGCGGTGGACCGGTGCCAGCCTGCGGCATGCCAGCAACTGGTCCACACAAACAAGCAAAGCCCCATCTGTGAAATTCAGGCAGCACACAAAACCATGCCCCCACCAGTCTACGGAAAAACCTTTCTCCACGGAACCAGTCTCTGGTGCCCAAAAGGTTGGGCACCTCTGCTTTAGCTGACGTCATTATGACATATCTAGGCTTTCTTTTTTCCCTATCATTTTACTCTGTTGGTGATGTGTTTTTGTATTTCACTATTTTAAATAAGAAAAAAAGCAAATTTTTTTGATTTCACCACCGTATTTGAAAAATGCTATGTATTCTTTGGTGAATGAGGTTTAACAGGTCCAGATTAAAGTATGTGTCACTGAAATCTGACTATATTTTTAGATTAGTCCCAAAACTGCCTATAAAATTGAGAAATGGGTGCAGTAATTGGAAATATTGGCTGTGAAATATCAAGGGCATACATTTATCCGATATAACTATGATTGTAAAACAGTAAGATACCAGATAACACTAAATATAGTGTTTATAACAGTAAATATAGATTCTAATATTTAAAAAATGGTAAACATGCAGAACAGATTGCTTGTTATTTATGAAATACTTAAACAGCACTTTACAACATAAATTCTGAATGAATTGGCATTTCAAATTTAGATTTTAATCCAAATTTTGTCTGAAATAATACACAAAATTGTTGAAATATACCAAAACTAGACCTGTGTTACTACTAAATGCGTAAATAACAAGCATTTTTCATGTGAAAAATATGATACACATCAATACTTAGAGTCTCAACTATTTAAAAAGTCACTATATAAAAACAAATTCCACCATTTATCAATTAATTCAAACAACAGAACACTATACATTTTCTCTGAATGAGCAACTATCATATGAATTTCCAATGATATAGGAATTCAGTTCAAAATTCTGGAATCACTTAACATTCATTTTTTTTTCTATTCCCTTGCCGAAGTGTAAATTGGAAATATAATAATACTAATAATTAAAGTTTATGCTAACCCATGTCTGCATAACCTACAAGACTAAGTGATGTCTGAATATGGTTAAGCAGTCAACTAATATTATGCTTGGGTGTTTCTTAAAATATCATGTCCTGGGAAATAAAATTAAAAAAGAGAATGCAGTCCCCAAAGATTATTCCATCTTCTTAACCATAGCAGAAATTGGCAATAGTGGGGATATATAGAGCCAAACAAGAACAGTTAGAAGTAATGAATAAAGCAGACTTCTCAGAAATATTTCAATATTCTTAGCTAACTTATATCAGAGAACATACCTTCTTAGAAGCTGATCCTTCTCCCAGAACACAGTTTCTCTCTGGACATTCACACGTGATTTTTGCTGGCTCCACTTTCTCTGGAAATACATACAGACACCTTTCTCCAAGTTGCCGTTCAGCATGGTCAAAACAACCCAGACGTTTTACTCTATTAAAAGCAAAACAGAAGTAGTGTTACCTTACTGCTGGATGGTATCTTCTTCTTGATTTTTCTGCACTGGCTTAAATGTCTAAAACTATTTCAAGTATATGCACAGTGATGCACTATTTGGGAAATCACGATTTAAAGAGATAAGTACTTTTTAATTTTACAAAAATTTAGAGTAAACTCAGTAATAAAAAGATTTAATAATGAAAAACATATTCCTATGGCATGTACAGAAACAGGTCATGGGGTATACGGGTGTGCCTGCATGCATGTGTGTGCGCACCCCCCTCCACAATCACACAATTACATGGTTGGAAAGCTTTATTCTTCAGAGCTCAGTTAGCCCAGAGCACCTCTGTACAGAACTGCTACTGATATAGCTTCTATATTGAGCAAAATGGACAATTACCCTCCAAATAAACACTTTCTAGAAATGTATTTATTTATTTAAAATATTTATATAGCTGCCCATTTTAAAATCAGCTCAGGATGAGACAGGCAGACAGAAGGCTGGATGTGAGACGAGGTCATATAATGTCATATAATGGCCATTCCTGATATAAACTTTGGTTGTAAGAAGCAGAATTAAGCAGTTTTTCAAAATCGACATGCCCAGCAACTCACATTTATGCATGTCTTAATATCATTTTCATGTATATTAATCCATCACATGATGCATTTGCTTTGGTTTAATTGATGTAAAACATACCAAGAAAGAAATCATGATTCACAAGACTACCGTGGATAGCTCCCCTCCCCACAAACCAATAGTATGTTTTTATTATGAAGCAGCAGAAGGACAAAGTTTAGTTTGAGTCAGATTGGTTTTAATCTGGATAAGTCCTTGCAGTTTTCTGGGCAACATTTTTATTTTTTTAAAAATATTTTTATTCAAAGATAAAAAACACTAATAAAAACTAGTACAAAATAAATAATTAAATAAGTGTAATAAAAAGTGTAATAGGATTTCTTATAGGATGTGTTCCCTTTATTTTTTTGAACAGTATAAATAAATAATACAAAATAAAATTAAGGAAGAAAAATATGTGCCCATTAGTCTTTTGTTTTGTAACAACCTGGGTAATGGGTTGTGTGATGACATCCTGAGATCCAGTGTAGTGATATCCTGAGTTCTGTGTTGCATCATCTTGGGTGGTTGGCTGTGTTGTAACATCCTGAGCTTTGGCGTTGTAGCCTCCTGAGTTCTGTGATGTGATGTCCAGGGCTGAAGGTTGTGAAGTACCATACCGGGCTTTGGTTTGGCTCCGAGTTTGCGGTCTAGCTCTGTGTTCATGGCGTGTGTCCGTTTGCTTTGTGTGGGGGTCAGAGGGAGGTGCAGCAGCTGGTGATGTCGTCATGGTTTGGCTTCTGGATGGTGGTTGCATTTCATCTGAGGGATGGGTTTGGGTCTGGTGAGGGTGAATGGTAATGGCGTACTGTGTTGTTCTGGGTCCGGTGTCAGTTTTCGTGGCTAGGACTCGTTTGTTGATTAGGGCTAGTTTTCAGATGTCTGGTAGGCGAGAGGTATTGAAATAGAAAAACACCCCCACAACATGAATAAATGTGATGATACCTCTCGCCTACCAGACATCATAAAATTAAAGAAGAAAGAGAAAAGGGGAAAAAAGATATTTAAGGAAGTGATTTCTGATTTTGTTTAAGTGGGTACTAGCAAACTTGATATCTTTTCTCTCCCTTGAAATTGCATAGTATATATCACTTCTCCCCTATTCCAACCCATTTCAATCCTCCAATCCAAAAATCAGAGATGCTTTTGTCCAGTTTCCACAAAAAGTTGATAATAGCTTTCCTGTATTTTATCCCTAATCAAACTAATCAATTTTATATTATTTGTTCTTGCATAGTATTCTGACATTGCTAATTCTTCCATTGATACTGAAATACTGTTGTAAGACTTGGTCTCCATTTATATCTTCTTTTGCCCGTCCTAAAGATTTTTTTGAGTCTTCTACAGGCCTCTCCTTACTATTTTTACCAATTTGTTCTGTAATTTTTTCTTTTTCTTGTAAATCCAGTAAGTGGTCCATTAACTACAAATTGTTCATCTTGACTTAATATCTGTATCTCCCCTCTGATTTTGTTTTCCAAAATTTTCACTTTAACTTTACTTTGAATTAACTATTCACTCAATTGTCCTGTAAATTCTTCAAAATTATTTTTGTCTTTTAATTCCTCTTTGAGATTTTTTAAATGACCCATTCAGATAGGCACTTATTGATGCTGTTATTGTGGCTGCAATCTTCTTTCTCAATTCTTCGAAGTTTGTTTGAAATGTCTCAAATGTGTGATTTTACTCTTATCTGGAATGAAGTTTTACTGGAAGATTTTTTAAAGAAAAAAACTGATGTTCTGAAGATATCTTTTATCTCTGAAGTAACTGTAATTCAAATGTGCTTAAGATAGTGAGGCTTTAGCGAACCCTTACAGAGGCCCCTGTGGCTATGAGCTCATGGTCCTTTAACTGATGAGTTGACTATAATCCTGTAGACTCCTTGCAAGCAGGTGGAGTAAGAGCAATAAGATCCAAAAAGGGAAAACTATAAAACAATGGATTTTATGAAAGTAAGTGGTTATTCTATTTTTATCAATTCAAAGACATTAAACAATTTATTGAGAGCAGGCCTTTTTGGAAGCTGGTATGAACTGTTTCTTACCTAGATAAATTCTCTTGAGTGATTAAAGATGGTGGTGGGCTTATACTATCAGTTCCCCCAGGACAGAAGCTTTTAGTGATCCAAGTAACTTTCAGTTCTATTACCTGTACCTAAAGAAGAAAAGGTTAGATTGTGAGAGAAATATTTTATTAAGATGTCCTTGTATTCTGTAATTGTTTGCAAAATTAACAATTTCTGATAAAAGATTTCTTTTCTGAGCTGCCATTTTGTCTCAAATTCTGAATTTCCTTTTGATTTCCATCTTTTTCTGCGATATCATAGAAAATCCAAATAACCCTAAACCAGATATAATCCTAATATTAATTATGCTTCTTAAAGAGATGCACATTTTTTTTTAAAAAAATCTGGTAGCCAAAACAGAAAACAGACAGCACAAAAATGGCATTATAGGACCCTACTCTTCCCAGATCTGAATTATCTCTTATTTTAATTTATCTGTTCCTGCATATTTTCTTCAAGGTTATTTCTACATCCCTTTGCATTTACTTGCCAAGAGGCATCCTCCCGAGGATTTTTCTGATTAAATGCTAACAATCTAATATCCAAATGGACATAACGTCTACATTATAAACTTCTAATATTAGGAATTTAAGCCTATGAACTGAGCAAGAAAAGAAAACACTGAAATGGAATTGTTTTCTAAAACAGAAGGCTGCTCCCTCTCTTAGTTTACAAAGACATTTCAAGATTATACACCAGGCTTTGTTTTGGGGAAAATCCAAACGATATTTCATAATAGGTTATCTCACTGAAACATACCTCTTCTACCACAACTCTGAATTTGCTCTTCGTACTGAGTACAGGTTTCACTCCTGAAAGCCACTGCACATTTGAGAAGACTTTTGAAGGACCAATGAGAACTTGCCCAGGATAAAAGCCATATGAATCATCAAAAAACAGGCCCTGAAAAATGAAACAAAAACAGAAGTACAACTCAGATATGATTAAATCACAGTCTATTCTAGTTGAATGAATTTCCCACATTTTATCCTAATTTTATCATTGAGGAAATTCTTAAAAACTTGGGGTTCATCTTCCTGCGCCTAATAAATTTTCCTTTCTGCTCTAGTCATTCTAAACAACTACAAAAATACATAATTATGATTGGCTAAAGTACAAGGATTTCAGGAGTACAAGGAAACAAACAAGTCATTTCCATTCACCACAATAACAGAAAAGCCTTCTATTAACCTGTACTAAATAAGTTCTTGAGCCTTTGGGGATAAATTAGATTCTGTAAGTGAACTTCCTTACTGCTACTAGCAATAACTGTTACTTAGGCATACATGGTCAAACATTCAGGAAGATAAAAAGGAAACTATTAGCCCATACAAATGGGACCTGAGAGCAATAACTTCCTTATTTTTTCTAGCAAAAATAATTGCCAACTATTTACTTTTAGGCAAGAGAAAATATATTACATTATATACTACATAAAAACATCTTGACAGGATAAAAACTGGTAGTGTTTTTGAAGTGCATGAACAATAGGATTGTATCCAGTTGAATGATTTTTGGCTTCAAATACCTGCGTAATAGTTTGGTCCTAAGCTGCTATTCTCAGATGGAAAACCAAGCTTAACTACCATGTTTCCCCCAAAAAATAACACCAGGTCTTATTATTATTATTATTTTGCCTCCAAAAGAGACACCAGGTCTTATTTTCGGGGTAGGTCTTACCTCACCTCCAGTACCAACAGCCCCACCCAGCCGGTCCACTTCTTCTGGGGCCGAAGTTTTGCAGCTGCATTCGGACCTGCATTTTGCAGTCAGGCCTTTCCAGGCCTAAGCAGCCAAACTATGGGTTGAATCCATAGCTCAGTTCTTGGCTGCACAGGCCTTCAGAAAGCCCTGTGATTGAGAAATGCAGGCCTGGCTGCAGAAGAGGCCTCAGAAGAAGTGGGCTGGCAAGGAAAGGCCTGGCTGCAAGGTACATGGGTGCGGGGAACGTGGGGCAGCTCCACACTCCCTTTCCCTACCCTAGCTTGATTTTTAGGTGTGTGCCTCGCCCCAAAACTAGGGCTTATTTTTGGGATAGGGCTTATATTAGGCCCACCCCCCAAAATCAAGCTAGGGCATATTACTGGTGTAGGCCTTACTTTTGGGGAAACACAGTATTTTATCACATTACATTCCTTTCCCAAATTCCTAACGCTGAATAAGCTTTCAACTATAGGTAGTCTTCAACTTAACAACAATTTGATGTTACAAAGATACTAAAAAAAGTAACTTATGACCGGTTTTCACACTTACAACTGTTGCAGTATCCCCACTGTTATGTGATCAAGATTCAGGCAAATGGGAGGAATTTATGACAATTGCATTGTCCAGGGGTCATGTGATCACCATCCAAACTTCCCAGTCAGCTTCCAATCAGCAAAGTCAATGGGAAAAGCCAGATTCGCTTAATGACCGCATGTTTCACCTAACAACTGTGGTAAACAATGATGTAAAATAGGGCAAAACTCACTTAACAACTGCCTTGCTTAGCAACCAAAATTTTGGGGTCAATTGTTGTTGCAAATCAAGGACTACCTGTATGCTATGCTCTACCAAATCCTCAAGAATATGCTGAAATGTATCTCTACAAATTAAGACTTATTAAAATGACTAAAAACATACTGAATCACTGACATGTGGGCAGACGTCATAGAGTTTTGCCGCATCTTCTGTGCTCATGGAACATCTAAAGAAACACATAACCATTGGAAAAAAGATTGCAAAAGAATTAGCATAATTTTCTTAATATTTGAATTTACATGCTCTTATGCTAGAATTTAATGATGTCAACTAATGAATAAAAAGATAAAGGTAAAGGTTTCCCCTATTCAGTTGTGTTTGAATGTACGGTGTTGTGCTAATCTCGGTTTCTTAGTCAAGGCAGCTAGCGTTGTCCAAAGAGGCTTCTTTGATTGTGTAGCCAGCATGGCTATATGCCAAGGCACACAGAACACTGTTACCTTCTCACTGCAGTGGTACTTATTTATCCACTTGCCTTTAAATACTGAAAAAATTCATTGGTCCATTAAACTTATATGTTCAATTTTGACTGTTGAGACCTCCCCAGAGTTTCAGGCAGAATCTTTCTTAATCAGTCCTATCTATGCCAGCAATTGAACCTGGTCATTTTTGCATGCAAACCATTTGGGGTGTGTGAGGGATTATTGAGTGCCCCCCCCCCCCCCAGCAGATTTAGCTATACTAATTTTTGTTACTAACTAAGTCATATACCCATAAGGGGGAAAACATGGATTTAACCAAACTGCATGGTCTCTAACATGGCACCTAGGGGCAATATTCTTTAATGCTCACCAAGCTTTCTGCGGTATCGGATTTTATTTAACTTTATTTTAATTAGCTAGCATGCATGAAACAAATCAGTAACATCAAACGTAAGTATATGCTTAGGAATGCTCTCAGGTCCCTTGGATACCGTGGAGCACTCCTAGCAAATAGATTCTGTTCTTTCTCCTTCTGGTATAGGATGTTCTGCAATTGATTGCACCAACTGCAGACAACAATTTTGTGAGAGGATTTCTAACAGGATCTCAAAATTCCAATGTGCCCAATGGTCCAAAAAGGCTGCGGTTTTCTGACATAGAACCTAAGAAAGCCCTACTGTACAACGTCCTAATTGTAAGAACAATATTAAGGCCTTTAATAAAGCCTGATATTGTTATAGTTGAGTAATTCAGTTTAGAATGGACGTATATATTTATATATCACCCATGAAATTATGAGAAATATAGATTTATATGGACAAAAAATACCTTACATTCTAAGATTTTAGGAGAGAATAGGGGGGCAGAAAAAAATTACTCAAGATGTTGTCTTATTTGCTCAACACAATGAAATCATCAGTGTAGATGATCTGCTCAAATAATCAGATAGTGAAGTACTACTGGTAAATACTGAGATCAATCCATTTACATACCGAACAGGTGAGTGCCGAACAGTGGATGATCTTGCCCCTCCCCCTCCCGTTAGTGGCAAGCTCACAGAGCTTGACACCTGTATCAGGTGGCATGGCAACCCACACAGGCATGTCCTACGCTGTGGAGGTTACCATTATTTTTCCGTGTATAAGACGCTGCACTTGTATAAGATGCACCTGATTTTTGAACACGGTGTTTGCAGGAAAAAATAGCATCTTATACACGTAAAAATACGGTAACATGTGGTTCAGAAATAGTAATTATAGATTATCAATTATATCAAACAATTACAGTATTTCAAGAGGTAGTATCCAATTCTGCATCCTTCACAATACGGGTGTCTCCTAAGGAGTTTTGACTACAACTTCCTCTGTATCTGATAAGTGGCCATATTAACTGGACTGATAAAGAGTTGTAATCAAAAATATCTGGAGAGCATGGTTCAATTAAGCACATGTCAGAATAGTTTGTTGTTGAAATTTTAGTTTTCTACTTAACAAGTTGCTTCAACAAAGTTCTTATATGCTTATTATACAACTCAGATGCCCCACATCCTCACATTACAATATAAATGTTTCCTATAACTGACATTACTTAGCTACATATGCCAGCTAATGAAGCTTTTGAAGGTAAGGGAGATAGAAGAGTTAACATTAAAAAATAATGTTAGAAATGCAACAGCCAAGCAATCAACCCAAACTGCCAGTTTTCACTCAGATTATACAAGTAATAACTTTGAAACAACCCCCAACTTCTTATTAAAATATTCTATATAGCATAGATTTATCAACATAGTTGGTATCTGAGGAACAAGGTACAACTAACAAATCAGAGACTTTAATTCAAAACTTAATTACCTGGGAGCAAGTTTAATGGAACTTACTCCATGATAAGCATGTGCAGAAGACTGCCCTTAAGAACCTATATTTCATTAACAGCTAATGACATGCTCCACAGCAAAGCAACAGAAATACCTTGCGCCATTGGAGAGCTTCAGAATGATTTGGTTCTTTAAATCATACACCTTTCCCAGCCACCAGTCATACGCTATGCAGTCACCGTACATAAAGGGCTGAGGGGGAAGGAGAGAGTTAGAATGCCTAATTTCATAGTTTATTTTATCAGAGTTAGAAATTATTTTAATTCAATTAAGTTCATATAATTGTAAAAGGGTAAACTAAATCAAAGTAGGAACTACTTCAAGTGCAAATGACCATGATCAATTGAACATCTTCCAGATGATTAAAAGGATTTTTCCTCCTTTATAAAATCCAGATAATGTGTTAGTGTTTGTATTTTATAACTAACACCATAGTGGAGCTGAACAAATAAACATAGAAAAGAAATTATAATAGAAACTTGAAATCAGGAGACTGTCACTTCTAGTTTTGTCTTAGGTATAAAAGTTGCTTAGGTGACCTAGGACCAATCATTCTCTCAGCCCAATGCACCTCCCAGGATTGTTGTTGTTGTGGGGAATGTAGGAGGAGAAAGGAGTATTATGTATGTTTGCTGCCTTGAGTTACTTATAAAGTAATAATGGCAAGATAAAAAACATCCGAAAAAAGAAATAGCTGGGAGCATCTTGGAGAAATCTTATAAATAAAGTGGTCCAAGAAAGGACAGAATGTTTTGTGTGACAGTAAATTGAGTAGTTTCCTCAGCCTAGTAAGATCTGTATGACAGCCAGTGTGCTGTGGTGGTTAAGTAGGTCTGGCACTAGCAAGCCACAGGTTCTACACCCCAACAATGAAGCTTATTATGTGATTTTCAGTCAGTCATTTTCTCTTAGTCCAATTTATTTGACAGAGTTTTTGTTATGGGAAAAAAATAGAAGGGAGAACTATTTATATTACATTAAACTCCTGTATGAAAGAAGAGATATAAATCGATCAAGTAAACAAGCAAACTGTAATTGATGAAACTGTAACACTTCTCACCTTTTTGAGAATGATTTCAGAGCACAATCAAAGTCTTTAATTTTAAAATGTTTTTAAAAAAACAATGTACAGCAATAGCTAGAAAAACAAACAAAAGGGGCGTTGTCTTACCTGAACGCCTTTTCTCAGAATGATGATGTAGAATCCACCGGTGGGTAATCTTAGCCTTCCTGCTTAGAAGAGACTAAGTCAAATTCTAGCCACGCCTCCCTCTGTGTGTGTCCTTCCAGTTTTTGACGAGGTGAAGCATCCATAATGAAATCTGACACATTGGCTCCAATAAACCTGACACTAGCCTAGACTGCCTCAAGGGGAGGGTGTGGATTCTACATCATCATGCTGAGAAAAGGCGTTCAGGTAAGACAACGCCCCTTCTCCAGCATGATGCCTGTAGAATCCACTGGTGGGACGTACCAAAGCCACTCATGTCACCACCGGGAGTCTAGGCTTGTGTCCCCTGAGAAGAAACTACCTGCTGCAGGACCCGCCTACCAAACAAGGCATCTGTCGCTGCAAACTGATCAATCTTATAGTGTCTTACAAAGGAAGAAGGGGAGGACCAAGTCACTGCCCTATATATCTCTTCAATCTATGCCTAGGTGGACCAGGCCGCTGAGGCAGCAGCGCTGCGCATAGAGTGAGTAGTAATGTGTGTAGGGACTGGGAGAGACTGAGAAGTATAGGCTCGAGCAATACATGCTCTGATCCATCTACCTATGGTTGAAGAGGAGACCTTCTGACCCATGATAGAGGGTCTGAAGGATACGAACAAAGCCTCCGATTTACGGAAAACCGAGGTCCTCTTAATATAAAGACGCAGAGCCCTGCGTACATCTAACTTATGCCACTGCCTCTCTAACCGATGAGACGGATTGGGACAAAAATTTGGAAGAACCAGGTCCTGGGACCTGTGGAACCAAGTATTGACCTTTGGGATGAATGAGGGGTCCAAGCGAAGGACCACCCTATCTTCGAAGAAGGTACATAAATCACTCCGTACTGAGACTGCAGCCAAATCCGAGATTCGCCTAGCAGAAGTGATAGCTACTAAGAATGCCACCTTTAAGGAAAGAAAATGAAGTGAACAAGACCTGAGAGGCTCAAAAGGAAGGAAAGTCAGGGCTTGCAATACCTTGGGTAGATCCCAAGATGGGTATCGATGCACCGGAGGGGGTCTAGCATTGACTGCTCCTTTCAGGAATGCACTAACTATTGGGTGTTGTGCTAAAGGAATCAAGTTATCGCAAGTTAGGACCGTTGATAGGGCTGCCCTTGTCTGCGGATGGTGTTAATTGATAACCCCTTATTTATTCTTTCCAAGAGATATTCTAATATGTTAGAAATAGTGACCAACAGCGGCCTGAGATTCTGCTTAACACACCAAGTGCAGAGGTTTTTCCACGTGGCATCATAAATCCTATTAGTTGAAGGACGTCTTGAGGCCTGAATCATTGAGATCACCCCTGATGAATATGATTGTCTAGTTAAACTTTCCCGCTCAGGTGCCAGGAGGCTAACTGGAGCCACTGTGGATCTGGATGTTGAAGCTTCCCCTGGCTGAGGGCTACTCTGTCCGGAGGGATCCTCCATGGTGGTGAGAACGACAGATCCACAAGGTCGGCAAACCACGGACGCCTTGGCCAATGTGGAGCAACTAAGATGATCTCGGCCCTTTCCTGAATCAATTTGCAAATGGTCGCCTGTATCAAAGGAAGGGGAGGGAAGGCGTAAAGCAGACCCCCCCAGCAACCGGTACCAGAGAGCGTCCGTTCTCTCCGCCCCCCGAGTTGGAAACCTGGTGAAGAACCTGGGGAGCTGAGAGTTTCTTGGAGAGGCAAAGAGATCCAGTTGTGGACGACCAAACCTGATCGAGATCTCCCTGAACAGGTCCGGATCCTGACTCCACTCTGAGTGGTCGACCGTGACCATGCTCAGGGAATCTGCTTGCTGATTTGCCTGCCCCATATGTGTTCCGCCTTGATGGAACCCAGGTTGGACTCCGCCCACAGACCCAGGGCCAGAGCCTCCAGCATGAGGGACCAAGACTGGGTCCCTCCCTGCTTGTTGATTTGAGCCTTGGCAGCCACGTTGTCCATCAGAATGAGGACGTGTTGTCCCCTCACCACAGAGGAAAACTGACGGAGTGCCAAGTGTATGGCCCTGAGCTCAAGCCAATTTATGTTGTGAGCTAGATCCGACTGGGACCACTGACCCTGCGCCAGATGAGTCTGTAGATGGGCGCCCCAACCGAACAGACTGGCGTCTGTGGTCAAGATGAGTCTTGGGGGTTCCTTGAAGATGGTCCCTTTCATCATTGCGGATGAAGCCCACCGTAGGAGAGAGGATAGAGTGTGGTCAGGAACCCTCACCCTCCTCGTGGATGAACTGAGGTTCTGTTTCTGGAAGGGAAGGAGAAACCATTGAAGGCTTCTGGAATGAAGTCTGGCCCACGGAACGATCCCCATGCAAGAGACCATCTTTCCCAGCAGTTGAGACAGCTGGACCAGAGTGACTAACCTCTCTCTCCGAACCTGGTGTACGAGCTTCCGGATGCCGATCCGGCGCTCCTGCGAAAGGTAGACCTTGCAGAGGTTTGAATCTATTATCGCCCCTAGATGAAGGAGGCGCCTTGTGGGAGTGGTGTGACTCTTCTTGAAATTCACGGAAAACCCGTGATCCTGAAGAGCACTGATTGTGATTTCCAGGTCTGACAGAGATGACCTAAAAGAACTGGATTGGATTAGAATGTCGTCCAAGTAGCATTGTGTGCGCACCGGAATCATCCTGAGGTGGGCTGCCAATACTGCCAAGACCTTTCTGAAGACCCTTGGAGCTGAAGAGAGACTGAAGGGAAGAGCCCTGTACTGATAATGCCGGTATGCGTAACAAAACTGAAGGAATCTGCGGTGTTCCGGGAGGATTGGGACGTGCAAGTAAGCCTCTGTCAGGTCTATGGAGGATAGGAAATCCCCTTTCCTGATGCTGGCTAGAATGGACCTTAGGATCTGCATCTTGAACCTTTTGTATTTTAAGAAATAATTTAGACCCTTTAGATCCAGTATCGCCCTCCAACCTCCCGAGGCTTTGGGTACCACGAACAGAATGGAATAAAATCCCTGTCCTTCCTGTTCCTGTGGTATCTGTTCTATTGCCCTGATTTCTAACAGATGGGAGATGGCCGTGGCTACCAATTTTGCCTTGACTGGGTTTCTTGATACAGGACACCGCATGAAGCAGTCTGGAGGATTTGAGATGAATTCTAAAGTGAGACCCCGTTTTATGGTCTCCCTGACCCAAGCTTCGGTAGTGGTAAGCTCCCAAATGTCGCTGAACAGCGACAACCGACCGCCTATGGGAGAGTCCTCCCTGGCGTCACTTAGACCGTCTGTAGGGACGGCCCCCTGTGCCCCGGAAAGGGTGTTTGGACTGGTATTGGCCCCTGGCTCTGACATTCTGGTGGTCCTGTTGGCGATCCTGTCTAGGGGGAAAGGATCGTGAGCCTCTGGGCCATTCCCAGGACTGCCCTGGCCGAAAGGGCTGCCTCCACACCCAGGAACCACTGAAGCGGAAAGTCTGTCTACGAAAATCCTGCAGAGGTCGTCTATCCAGCCTTCTGGAGGGGTGTGCCAGAATCTTGCATTTATCTTTGCCCTCTATTACGTGTGGTTCAAGAATCGGACCAAATAAATGTGTACCACCGTACTTGGCCGTCGACAGACGCCACTTAGACTTTAAGTCAGTCCGCCACTGTTTTAGCCAGAGCAATCTTCTGGAGGCAACTGTGGCTGCAATGGATTTAGAGGAGTACCAGGCTGAATGAAATGAGGCGTCTGCCATGTATTCTGACACTACCACTAGCTTTCCCAGTGTCTGATGTGTGCGTACCTGGTCAGGAGGGACGAGTGCCTGAAGTTCGCAGAGCCACATGATTGAAGCCCTTGCAAAGAAGGAAAAGGAAGTCGCAGCCTTAATCGCCCAAGCCGAGGCCTGATGAACTCGGCGAAGGGAGAACTCAAATTTCTTGTCCTCCGCCTTCATGGCCTCTACCATATCCCCTGGAATAGCCGATGTGGAAAATAAAGAGGTTAGTGGAGTATCCATAGAAGGCACCTCTAAGAGGGAAGCAAAAGAGGAAGAAACATTGAAGAGCTTCCTTTCTGTGCTATTGGGGGCAGGAAAAGTGGCCAGGGATGACCACTGTTTCTCCACAGTAGCCCGAAATACATGCGGGCAAGGAATCTGTTTCTTCTCCACAACCTGTTCCGCGAACAAAGGATTGGACTCCTGGTTGGTGGAGGTGGAAGGTTTGTCATCCTGTGATGAGGAGAGGTTAGCCGTGGTACAGGCTTTCAGAAGTAAAGTTCTGAAAAGGGAAGGATCAAAAAGACCCGAGGTTTGCGCCTGTTCGGGCGCTTCCTCCTCATCCTCTGACATGGGCATGTCGGCTACCTCTAGATCCACTGACTCTTCCTCGCCTAATTGTGAAGATATCTCAGAGACACCAGAACCGGGAACCGTGGCACGCCCCGTTTGAGAAGGAGGCATGGATGGAGGAGGTGGTTGTGAAAACCGTTGACTCCTAGAAGAAGACATAAATTGTGTAAATGCACACTGCATAAATGCATTAAATTGATCTGACCACAGAGCCTGTTGGTCCTCTGAACTAACACCAGTCTCATTTGTGACCTGCGTGCCTTCACGAGCCTGTTGTGTGAATGAAGAAGAGGAGGAGGAGGGGGGGGGACCAACCTGTTCAGTTTCTCCCTGAGGAGACCATGCCCTAGGGCAGTGGTTCTCAACCTTTTTAATGCCGCGACCCCCAACTGGTCGTAAGTCGAGGACTACTCAACTGGTTGTAAGTCGAGGACTATTCAACTGGTGCAGCACCGTTTGCAGAATGGACTTTTTGCGGGCTCAGCAGGGCAGAGACAGCCTGGACAATTCCTATTGGCTTTTGAAAGCCAATAGAATTAGACTCTATTCAAGAGAGTCTATTCTATTGGCTTTCAAAAGCCAATAGAATAAAAGGGAGTAGCACAGCTAAGGAAAAGGGGGAAAAAATGGTGGACTGTGCTGTTTGGTGACCCCCGTGAAATGGTCGTTCGACCCCAAATGGGATCCCGACCCACAGGTTGAGAACCACTGCCCTAGGGGCATCATGTGAAGGTGCATATGGAGGCTCAAATAACGGTCCAGAGAAATGGGGGGAACCACTTCAGCCTCGCTGGACCTGAGCCTTTGAGCTTTGGAGAATTCCCTCTCCAGCGCCTGATGTCTCCTCGAGGCCTCTCGCTCCACTGCTTTAGAAGTCTCCTTAGGTGCTAAATGTTTTGTCTTGGCCTTTTTCTTTCCCCCCACTTCCAAATCAGTTGATCTGTGTTTTGCTTGTATGGGGGGAACATCAGTGTCTTGTGATGCCTGGGGCGAGGATCTGTCTGCCATTGCAATTAGGATATTCCAAAGGATATACCTGTAAATGGGGGGAATCCAAACATGCAGATCTGGTTGTCAGAGAGGGAAAACAACCCACAGTCTGAACAACAATGGCAAACAGCCAGACAGCTCACTAGAACTGCCTGTCTAGGCCTGTGGCACCGTGCCACAAACTAAATAGAAACAGGTGGATTCTAGATAAAACTCTCCCCCGCTCAATATACCACGTTAGCAAATGGAATATAACCTGATCCTCAGAGAGTAGAAGTGGACCAATAAGTAATGCAATAAGGGGTCACCACGTGAGTATTTGAATGTGCTTATAGTATCCTGGAAATGCATTAATATGCTTCCCCCTGGTAAAGGCCTGACACAGCAGACCCAGTCAACAGTAAAGCAAGCCCCAATGGATTGCTAGGAACATGAGGTCCTTACAAAATGGCGTCAACTCCTGAAAAAATTCAGTCAAAATGACGGCCGTGCCTTGCAGTCTCCTCTAATAAATGCAATAGCTCCAAAAAGGGCTACCAGACTGCTTGGAAGAGAAAGGCTCTAAGGGTTTATTCCTAAAATCCCTCCCTTTTGTCACAATAACGTGCTGTTGGTCACGCAGCCACCGCTGCAATCCGGAAAATGCCTGCCTCCAAAAGAACCTCGTGGCGTCGAAAGCAACTGAAACGACTCGCTGTTAAGTGGAAGGGAGTCCCTCCGTTTGACCGAGCTCTGTGGAAATCCTTATCCTCTGCAATTCAGCTGTTCGGCTGATCAGCGCTCCCGCTGATCAGTTAGATCGGAGCCAAAAGCCCCAGTTGCGATCGGCCTGGAAACAGTTCACACAGGAGCCTGGTAGGCTCATAGAGCTTGGAGGCCAGATCAATCCTCAAATAACTTTAGCAATTTGGATCCAAATTTAGAAACAAACACCAAATTTAGAGATTGTTAAATTCCAATAAATCCAATTAGTGAAAACAATCGAATTAAATAAACAAATTACTTAATTAACCTAATCTGCCTGAGGAACCTGAAATTTTGCATCCTGCTGAGCTAGACTAAGTAAAAAAACTGGAAGGACACACCCAGAGGGAGGCGTGGCTAGAATTTGACTTAGTCTCTTCTGAGTAGGAAGGCTGAGATTACCCACCGATGGATTCTACAGGCATCATGCTGGAGAATTGCAAATTTTTATATTTATAAAATATTTATATTTTATATTTCCTATATATAATATAGGAAATGCATTGTTTTTGCTAAAGATGTTACTGACCCTGTGTATTAACTGTACTGTACTTCTGGATCGTATTGTTGACAAGAGGTTCCCTTGATCAAGTAATCAGTTTGGCTAATCATTATGTAGAGAGACTCTCTAACGTTATGACTAAGCCCTTGCTTAATTGGAAAGAAACTACTTGCAAATTTTAAAAATAATACAAGTATTGTGTCATTTGTTTCAAAGGCTTATATTCCATAGAATAGTGTTGTCAGGAAAGGAGTTTATAGAGTTAGTTTTTGTTTTTATTATTTTTATATCTTGCTTTTATTTTGTACCACTCAAGCAGCATCCATAATGATCTTGCCTCTTATTTTCCTCAAGACAACAAACCTGGTGAGATAGGTTGGACTAAGAGAGAATGGTTGCTTAAAATCACTAGTCAGCATTTATACCTAAGGAAAGCCTAGAACTCATGGTCTCCTGGTTTCTAGGCCAACACCTTAGCCACTGTTACTAATATGTTGAAACAATTTAATAGTCAGGCAGTAGAGAAAAGAAAAAGAGATTAAATCCAAAATAAAAGGACTTGGCTTATGTTATAAGGTCTTGTAAGAGCTTCCAAACTGGAGATCAAAACGAGAAATGCAAAAGCACAGAAAAAAATCTGGAATACTCTCTCTAGATCAAAGGTGAGCTGTAATAATTGATACTGCTTATTTTTCTTGTTGATTTAAGGTTATATTTGTTAAGGTAGAAGAGTCCTTGCTGTGTCAGGCTAAATAGTCTAAAGCATTCTTACCCAAATATTCTGAAGATCTTTACTGTTAACAGGATACAGGATACAGTTGGTTCCCACCAGTTTTACTGCACACTCTATATTGACATCCACAACTGTCCCACACTGGCTGTCCTGGAAAGAAAAACAGATATTTCTTTAAACTTCAATGGGCTTTCAATATTGGAAGAATCTAAGAATCCTTCACTCACTGCTTTCATAGAAAGAGAATCAAGATTCATGAAATACAACCTAACAAGATGAATAAAGAGCTTTAATGTCCCCCCCCCATTTACTGGGCAAAAAACCCCCTACTGCATCCAGAGCCTTTTCTTCTTTCCAAATCCATCACCCTTATCTGAAGTGTGGAACTCCTACATCAGATGAACTATTTCTCAGACTAGGTAGCATCTGCCTGCTATCCAAGATGTCAGAACAAGGTGGATAGCCTTTATATTCAAGTCAATTCAGATTATTGCCAAAAGAAACACTATTTTAGGCATTCAAGTGTTAATGATTATAGAGCTTGTATTCTTTGAACATTTAGAAAAGTGCTAAAAATCTTTTCGTAGGACAAATATCAGTAAATAGTACTTTCATGTATCCTAAATTGTGAGTGTCCTTTTTTCTGCCTTTAGTTCTTCAGATTTAAAGCATTATTTAATTAAAATAATCAATAACCAAGAGGATGAAATATTATTTTTGATACCCCTTGTGCCTATATATTACTTGCTGAGAAAGTAGATAAAAATCTAGATACGTCATTATCTTTTTATAATCTGGCAATTGCTAGAATGATTTCTTTATTAATGAGTGGCATCTACTTACAGATGAAGCAATAGCTAACTTGCAGAATTATTCCCAAACATCAAGATTTATTAAAGGACACATTTATACTGAAGAGATCTGTCAATATAAAATAAGTGAATTTCTTCAGGGAAGATAAGGATGTTAATGGCTCTAGTCATGATGACTAGACATTGCCTAATAGTTCAGCAGTATACCGCCTCTTAATATCAGTTGCTAAGGACTACAAGATGATATTATATTATAGTTTGTTTTGTCTGTGGGCTTCTCCTCTTTTTGGATATATATTACCCACGTATGTGTCTCTCTCCAAAAAACAACATTAACTGGTCTGTAGCAAAGGGATTTCCAAGGGGAGAAAAAAAACTTTTACCATCAAGATTCTGAATGTGATAGCCATGCATAGTAGTATGTCAAATAGAAATGCTAAGGCCTAAAGACTGCATAATGATTACAATAAGATAAGTAAGGTAAGATAAGATAAGATAACCTTTATTATCATTTTTTTTTACTGTGGGTACAACGGCACACATTAAAAATTTAGTTGCCCACTCTCAAAGTGAAATACATACATGACACACACTTAAACATACTATGTAAACATATGTATAGATCCACACCCCTACATATACATAGCAAAATAAATATTAAATATTGTCCATCTTGAATATATAACAGAAGGAGGAAGCTTGAGAGTTCACAAGGTTAATTGTAATTGTAATGTACAGTATGAGACTATTTCTTGCAATGCAGGTGTACAAGAATAGTGATTAAGGACTGAAGCTTTCTTAAAATATATATTCCACTATATTCCTTTTCTAATTGTTCATTGAGAAAATCGTTCTTTTTTTATATAAACAATTTTTATTATTTTTCCATTTTACACCAACAGAAGCTTAAGAACCAGCGTGGAGATATGGTGGTCAATTACAAAAAAAAACCAAAAAAACCCAATAACATTACAGTGGGGCAAAAAAGTATTTAGTCAGCCACCAATTGTGCAAGTTCTCCCACTTAAAAAGATGAGAGAGGCCTGTAATTGTCATCATAGGTAGACCTCAACTATGAGAGACAAAATGAGAAAACAAATCCAGACAATCACATTGTCTGATTTGGAAAGAATTTATTTGCAAATTATGGTGGAAAATAAGTATGTGGTCACCTACAAACAAGCAAGATTTCTGGCTCTCACAGACCTGTAACTTCTTCTTTAAGAGGCTCCTCTGTCCTCCACTCATTACCTTTATTAATGGCACCTGTTTGAACTTGTTATCAGTATAAAAGACACTTGTCCACAACTTCAAACAGTCACACTCCAAACTCCACTATGGTGAAGACCAAAGAGCTGTCGAAGGACACCAGAAACAAAATTGTAGACCTGCACCAGGCTGGGAAGACTGAATCTGCAATAAGTAAGCAGCTTGGTGTGAAGAAATCAACTGTGGGAGCAATAATTAGAAAATGGAAGACATACAAGACCACGGATAATCTCCCTTGATCTGGGGCTCCACGCAAGATCTCACCCCGTGGGGTCAACATGATCACAAGAACGGTGAGCAAAAATCCCAGAACCACATGAGGGGACCTAGTGAATGACCTGCAGAGAGCTGGGACCAACATAACAAAGGCAACCATCAGTAACATACTACGCTGCCAGGGACTCAGATCCTGCAGTGCCAGACGTGTCCCCCTACTTAAACCAGTACATGTCTGGGCCCGTCTGAAGTTTGCTAGAGAGCATTTGGATGATCCAGAAGAGGATTGGGAGAATGTCATAGGGTCAGATGAAACCAAAGTAGAACTGTTTGGTAGAAACACAACTCGTCATGTTTGGAGGAGAGAGAATGCTGAGTTGCATCCAAAGAACACCATACCTACTGTGAACATGGGGGTGGCAACATCATGCTTTGGGGCTGTTTCTCTACAAAGGGACCAGGACGACTGATCCGTGTACAGGAAAGAATGAATACGGCCATGTATTGTGAGATTTTGAGTGCAAACCTCCTTCCATCAGCAAGGGCATTGAAGATGAAATGTGGCTGGGTCTTTCAGCATGACATTGATCCAAACACACCACCCGGGCAACGAAGGAGTGGCTTCGTAAGAAGCATTTCAAGGTCTTGGCGTGGCCTAGCCAGTCTCCAGATCTCAACCCCATAGAAAACCTTTGGAGGGAGTTGAAAGTCCATGTTGCCCAGCGACAGCCCCAAAACATCACTGCTCTAGAGGAGATCTGCATGGAGGAATGGGCCAACATACCAGCAACAGTGTGTGCCAACCTTGTGAAGACTTACAGAAAACGTTTGATCTCTGTCATTGCCAACAAAGGATATATAACAAAGTATTGAGATGAACTTTTGATATTGACCACATACTTATTTTCCACCATAATTTGCAAATAAATTCTTTCCAAATCAGACAATGTGATTGTCTGGATTTGTTTTCTCATTTTGTCTCTCATAGTTGAGGTCTACCTATGATGACAATTACAGGCCTCTCTCATCTTTTTAAGTGGGAGAACTTGCACAATTGGTGGCTGACTAAATACTTCTTTGCCCCACTGTATATGTATACAATTCACACAATATTTCTTAAAACTTCCCTCTCTATCTATGTAGAATATTATAATCAATTACATTCAAATAAATTCATTAATTAATATATCTAAGTATAAATTTCCTTAATCAATAAAAACTTTCAACCGCTCAATATCAATATAATAATCAAATTAATACAATCCTATAGCCAATTCATTCATTAATATGTCACTATATATAAATTAAATGCTTAAATCAAACCCAACGCTCTCTATTTAAATTATTGGAATCTCATTAATACATTTCTAACACAGATTTTCAATAAGTATATTGCCAGATAAAAATTTCATTAGTCAATAATCTTTTATAAAAGCTCCTTATCTATCCCAAAGATCCTGTTTTAAACTTTATTAATTTTTCCAAATATTTGAATTTAAGCTAACCTAATTATTTAATTATTTCAGGGCCCCCAAATTTCTCTTATTTAAACATATCAGCTCCAAAACTAAATTCCTACATTTCTCAACTATATTTCTATTATTTTTCAATAATTCTCCAATTTTTAATTCCATCTCATTCCAAAACAAAAACCACAAATAGGAAAAGAAAAAGAAAAACACACACACACACACACACACACAAAACCCCAAACACATATTCTTGCTATACTTCAATATTAAATTCTAAATCATTTCATAATAGCCTCCCATTTAACACAAACCAAATCCAAGACAGTCCAAATCGCTATAAAACCTTTACCATCCATAATTATCATCTCAAATTTAATATTTATATCTTATTCTGGGTTTCCTTCTATTCCAAATAGGTTTCCATAGTCAAGTCTCTAGTTCTGCAAATAGCTCTCCCATTGTCTCCTGCCACACAGGAGCAAGAGGTCTCCCATTATCCATTTTCTTAGGCTGGTATAAGAGTTATAGTCATTCTGAAAAGCTCGTGCCAAAGCATCATTTCCCATCTTTTTCAAGGATGCATAAACTTTAGTTGAAATCTTTTTTTTTTGGTACAGTCCTCTTTAGTCAAATTTTGCTTTTCTTCCAATAGTTTTTCCTCTTTCAGAAAGTCAGATGGTATCTGCAAATCAGCTTGACCTTCCGAAGTAAGTTCCTCCATTTCCATATTATAGATCATCTGACCATTTATATCAAGGCTTATTCCCGGTATCGATTGCAAATCCAACTGTACATTTGCTTCTTCCGTCTCAGTAAACTGAGAGCAAGTCTTTTGAATACAAACTACAGTTTCACTCAAAGCTTGTGCTTGACTTTGCTGATGTAAAGAAATCTCCTTTTTACAACCAATTATCTTCTCCATGTTTTCTAAGATTTTGTCCAAAATATATTTATAAATAGAGTCTGAACGGGTTTTTTATCATATTTGAGGACATTATCTTTTGGGGGAAGACTATATTTAAACACAGTCACTCAATATCCATCTCCTCCCAAGTTTCTTAGTCAATTTCCTTTATGCAAATTCCAGGAGAAAAGAAAAAAAATAGTAAAAGCGATATGTAGTTTTAGCAGATGTCCCCCAATGAGTAATCAAAGTTAATCAAATAATCAGTCTTTTTGGAAAACATAAAAAATAAGAAAAAATAGTACTCTCCAGATGCATAGCCTCTTAAATCTCTCTAAAAGAAAATTTTTTGGGGCTCCAAAGTATTCAAAAATAGAATCAGCCATTAAAACAAAAATAGGTTTTATCCTTTTCTTAAGCTTCTCCTCCCCCCATTTAAAACGCCGCTTCAACAAAAAGGGGAATAATTCCAGAAAGAAAAAACTTTTCACAGGAACAAAAAATAGAGGTAAAAAAAAAATCTCACCGAATCTTCCACGGTGGGTCTGCTTGCTTAGATGATCTTATGGCTTACGGTTGGTGCAGCTAAATGATCGGCCATTTTACTGGCCGATCTTTACCCTGTCAGCCCAAAGGAGATACTCGGTGCACAGAGGACGCCGCCGCTCCTCTGCAACTATCCAAGAAGCCTCCTCAATGGTAGACGCTCCTCCAGAGCGTCTTTTCGACCCTCTAAGGGGTCTACCAGCAGGGGAAACTCGATCAGGAAAGGGACGATGCCCTTCGCTCGACCGCACCGCCGTAAACCGGAACCGGAAGCCGAGAAAATCGTTCTTAATTTTTAAACCAAATGATCACTGAAAGCAGCTGATGATTTATACCAGACGTCCCCAACCTTTTGGGTGCCAGGGACTGGTTCTGTGGAGGGTGACTTTTTTGTGGACCGAGGGTGTATGTGATTTTGTGTGTGTGTGATACCTAGATCCCATGCATGTGTTGATGGGGCTTCATTCACTTGTGTGGCCTGGTTCTTGGCAGGTCACGGACCAGTGCCGGTGTGTGGCCCAGGGGTTGGGGACCCTGATTTACACTTTTTTTCTTGACTGTTTGATTTCATGCTACTTTGCCACCAAGAAAAAATGTTTACTGATTTCTGAAAAATGGCTAATAATATACAAATGGCTTTTTACTTGTAGCTGTAATAATATTTATTCCAATCTGAAAAACTGCAAACTGTTCCCTGTAAGAATCAATATCCTAACCAAAGGATCGTCTGTGAACAGCAATTTGCCTCAGTGCTGATATTATTGATCGTATGCATCCTTTCTTCAATAACATCACATGCTAGCATGCTTATCTTTGAGCACTATTTGTACACGAGTATTAAAACACACCATTACTTCTATGTAGATAAATGATCTGGGCCTTGTAAAATATGTCTATTGAAGTTAAATTTAATAGTAGTATCAAATGAGATACAGCTTTGTCTCTTTGTCCTACGCTATAGCAACACTTACACGTGAGCCCATATGCCTGACGACATCTCGAGGTACCACTGATCTGTCTTCGAGCTTCAACTAGAGTTGAGAAAGAGAGAGAGAAGATAGTATTAATTCTAAGCACAATCTTATCATTGGGTATAAGAACAATCAATACATAATGAAGTCTGCAATCATACAATACAATTTTTGTACTTTGTGGATCATATATTTGGGGGGCCCACAAGAGTATACAGTGGGGCAAAAAAGTATTTAATCAGCCACCAATTGTGCAAGTTCTCCCACTTAAAAAGATGAGAGAGGCCTGTAATTGTCATCATAGATAGACCTCAAGTATGAGAGACAAAATGAGAAAACAAATCCAGACAATCACATTGTCTGATTTGGAAAGAATTTATTTGCAAATTATAGTGGAAAATAAGTATTTGGTCAATATCAAAAGTTCATCTCAATACTTTGTTATATATCCTTTGTTGGCAATGACAGAGGTCAAACGTTTTCTGTAAGTCTTCACAAGGTTGGCACACACTGTTGCTGGTATGTTGGCCCATTCCTCCATGCAGATCTCCTCTAGAGCAGTGATGTTTTGGGGCTGTTGCTGGGCAACACGGATTTCAACTCCCTCCAAAGGTTTTCTATGGGGTTGAGATCTGGAGATTGGCTAGGCCACTCCAGGACCTTGAAATGCTTCTTACGAAGCCACTCCTTCGTTGCCCGGATGGTGTGTTTGGGATCATTGTCATGCTGAAAGACCCAGCCACATTTCATCTTCAATGCCCTTGCTGATGGAAGGAGGTTTGCACTCAAAATCTCACAATACATGGCCGTATTCATTCTTTCCTGTACACGGATCAGTCGTCCTGGTCCCTTTGTAGAGAAACAGCCCCAAAGCATGATGTTGCCACCCCCATGTTCACAGTAGGTATGGTGTTCTTTGGATGCAACTCAGCATTCTCTCTCCTCCAAACACGACAAGTTGTGTTTCTACCAAACAGTTCTAGTTTGGTTTCATCTGACCATAGGACATTCTCCCAACCCTCTTCTGGATCATGCAAATGCTCTCTAGCAAACTTCAGACGGGCCCGGACATGTACTAGCTTAAGCAGGGGGACACGTCTGGCACTGCAGGATCTGAGTCCATGGCGGCGTAGTGTGTTACTGATGGTTGCCTTTGTTACGTTGGACCCAGCTCTCTGCAGGTCATTCACTAGGTCCCCCCATGTGGTTCTGGGATTTTTGCTCACCGTTCTTGTGATCATGTTGACCCACGGGGTGAGATCTTGCGTGGAGCCCCAGATCAAGGGAGATTATCCATGGTCTTGTATGTCTTCCATTTTCTAATTATTGCTCCCACAGTTGATTTCTTCACACCAAGCTGCTTGCCTATTGCAGATTCAGTCTTCCCAGCCTGGTGCAGGTCTACAATTTTGTTTCTGGTGTCCTTCGACAGCTCTTTGGTCTTCACCATAGTGGAGTTTGGAGTGTGACTGTTTGAAGGTTGTGGACAGGTGTCTTTTATACTGATAACAAGTTCAAACAGGTGCCATTAATACAGGTAATGAGTGGAGGACAGAGGAGCCTCTTAAAGAAGAAGTTACAGGTCTGTAGAGCCAGAAATCTTGCTTGTTTGTAGGTGACCAAATACTTATTTTCCACCATAATTTGCAAATAAATTCTTTCCAAATCAGACAATGTGATTGTCTGGATTTGTTTTCTCATTTTGTCTCTCATAGTTGAGGTCTACCTATGATGACAATTACAGGCCTCTCTCATCTTTTTAAGTGGGAGAACTTGAACAATTGGTGGCTGACTAAATACTTTTTTGCCCCACTGTATATTATTCTGTTCTATTTGTAATTTTTCTTTCATCAAAGCAACTCAGGCTTACATCAATAGATTCTTGGAATATCTTTCCTTCCCATACTTAAGAAGACCTAACCTGCTTATTATCAGAATTAGACTGCACCACATGTGCTGAAACTGTACTTACGTTACTAGTCTGAATATCACCATTAATATTATATATTATATTGCCATATAATCACTATACTGGAGATGCCATACAAATTTAACTTCTGCAGAATAACATTTGCTATTCTGATTAACGAAGGAATAGGCATTCCTACATCTGCAACAGCTATGCAGCACAAAAAATGCAGTCACATATCCGTAATATCGGGTAGTGCTAATGAAATGGGGACTTTTGCATATTAACATTTGTATACTTCCTTGACAAGGTACATAATGCCTCTTCTGTTCCTGGGTGATCTCTGAAACTATGCTATCTCTCCATCATTTGTACCAATATTAAAATACAAATGGCAAAACATTTCCAGAATGCTAAAAATGGTAAAAGGCAAATACTTCCATTATTAATAACCCGTCATACTAGAAAATAGATATGAGGACATAGTCTATAAATGTCATCTATTTATACCCAGTAACTTATACTGTATATGCTTCCCACTATTGTGCCCGAATTAAGATTCATCATCAAATAAAGCAACTGTGATTGCACTAAAAAGCTTTTTAAAACAGCTATCTTCCCCACAAATTTACATTCTCTGAAAATGAGTATTATGATACAATTTTAAATTCTGCTTCCAGATACACTGATAAATGCATGCAAGAATGTGAATTGTATGCTAATTTTTGGTCTCTCTTTTGGTTACTTTGCCTCTCTTCTTATATTTTTATATACTCTCTTTCACTTCACTAAAAATCTATATTTTACCTTGGCAGAACAATGCTTATCTTCAACCACCAACCCAAAGTTCAACAATTGTTTAGTGTGAGAGAAATAGAACTATTTTTATTACATTACATAGCTTCTTTGCAATTTTGAGATAATCTGAAGCATGATTTTAAATAATGTCTAAGTACCAGGGCAAACTTTCAAGAGTCTTGCAATATACTAGTATTGATTTATACAATGTATTGTGAAGGTATGCTGATGAGAAAGAAAACTGTAACATTAAATATTGGAAGTTGGAAATGGACAACTTACATCTTATAGAACTATTCTCCAGAGAATACGACATGATCTAATAATCTAAAATAAACCCTCAATTAAGGAAACCTTGGATACTACAGGCAAAATTTAACTCCAGACTCCACCCCAAAAAAACAATAAAATCTACTGTATTCAAAAAGTTCCAACAGTTTGGGTAAACTAAAAGCTTTGTGTCAGTTTAATCATTTGTATAATGTTATTGCAGATATCATGAATTACATAAATTGATGCAAAAGATAATGTTATATCATTCATAGATTTAACAGTCTGTTTAATGTGCTTCACAGTTTAACCATTCCTGAATGGTTGATGTTATTTTCAGGAAAACAGAGCTCTTCTTATGAAACTATTATGCATTAAAATTATCTTGCTTCTCTTTCCAAGTAGAATCAAAATGTCTCATATACAATAAATCTGATACAGAGTTTCCAAAGAATTTCCAAAATAATTCTGGTATAGCAAACTCTGTTATTTATCTGATGAAAGTGTGACAACAAAGAGGCCAAATATGTCTTTTTGGATAATTGTTACATTATGCTCAAGCTACAACTGAAAATGCTCTGACAGGAAAAAGGATTTTTAAACATGCTAGTAGAAGCAAACTACCTTTAAGGTGTACATGAGACTCTAAAAACTTTGGCTGCATCCCTTAATTCCTTTCTAAAATTGGTATCAAATTGTTTTGACTCATCCACTTCTTTGTTTCCTAACCTGTTGGGATGCTGTACACCTCTCTCCCTAATAAGTGGACTCCTCGGTCAAAAATCATAGTGCAGGCTCTGAAGATATGAATCACCAATGAAGACACAACAAAAGTAACCTTCCAACTAGCCTGACCCAGTCCAGCAGAAGCTTTTAATTTACAAGAAGACCTGCACAACCTGGACAATATTTCATCACATTGTTATGTCATGAAGTCCTCTAACTTGGAACTTGAGGGGTCTGATCCAGCAAAGCTTCAGTAACCCACAACTAATCAACCACTTGAGGCTGACTCAACAGATAATCTGCAGGAGGTGTGGAAGAAATCAAGTGACAATAGGCTAGTGCCTGATCAGATATACTGAGGAATATACTAACAGATTTGAAGAACCAAATAAAGATAATAATAATAATAGAATTGGAAGGGACCTTGGAGGTCTTCTAGTCCAACCCCTTGCAGGAAACCCTATACCATTTCAGACAAATGGTTGTCTAGTCTCTTTTAAACACTTCCAGTGTTGAAGCATTCACAACGTCTGGAGGCAGGTTGTTCCACTGATTAATTGTTCTAACTGTCAGGAAATTTCCTCTTAGTTCTAGGTTGCTTCTCTCCTTGATTAGTTTCCATCCATTGCTTCTTGTCCTGCCTTCAGGTGCTTTGGAGAATAGCTTGACTCCTTCTTCTTTGTGGCAACCCCTGAGATATTGGAACATGGCTATCATGTCATTCCTAGTCCTTCTCTTTATTAAACTAGACCAGTGGTGGCAAGACTATGGCATGCGAGCCAGAGGCGGCATATAGAGCCCTCTCTGTGGGCACACGCCACCTCAGCCCCACCTCCCCCACGTCTCCCTCACCAATAGCCCCCCCAGTTGCCTCCAGGCGCGGCCCACGTGGAGCAGCGCAGGCAAGGATATGGCAGCCAGGCAGCAGGGTCAAGACTCTGTCCTTGAGCCCCATCGTGCACAAATGCAGGGTGCGGGCAGAGGGCATGGCCACCATGGAGCTACTGGGTCGCTTGATCTGCTGCGGTAGGCCATGGAGGCGGTAGGCAGCCCTGTGGGCAGGCAGGGGACGGAGCAGGGGCAGGGTGGGGGTGGAGCGGGGCGGTTTTTGGGCACTCGGTGTCTAAAATGTTTGCCATCACTGAACTAGACAGCCACAGGTCTTGATGTGATCCACATCCATCTTTAAGAAGGAAAGATGTCAGAGCATGCAATGGAACCAAGTGATGGCCTCTCAGTTGGAAGTAACTCATCAATCTTAGAGCTGCATTTATGTGTTGACTGCTTCCTGTAATACTTCTTGACCTAGCCTTTCAATTCAGACCTGCTGACTAAGCTCCTTGATGTTTATTAGGCT